TAAAGAGCTATCAAATAAGCAGTTGTAGCTTTGTTTTGCTCAGCTCTGCATGCAGGAAACTGAAAATACTATGTTACCGTGTTATCCCCTACGTAACAGGAAGTTGCTCCAAGGTGAATGATGGCTGCAGCTTTTGGACAGCAGTGGGCAAAGGTGTGAACGTGGGCCATCACATCGTGACGCAGCTTCTTCTCTTCCTCTGCTGCCATCTTGAAGTCAATGTTGTCCAGATTTGCTTCCATCTCCTGTATCTGCTCATCTGTGATAGGAAGCCCAAGTGACTGCAAAGGGAAAAGAACTTTCTATTGCTTTTTCTCTTTGTCAATGAAATTGAGACAGAAGATATTTAGATCATTTACTCCCATATGGCATCTCACAGAGGCATGGCAATCTGGCATAATCAAGAGTTTTAAGTGCAAATGCTCCTATTCTAGGGCTCTCCAACCTTCCAACCTTTTCCAAGAGGATAGGACAGTGTTCATTCTTAGATGTTCCTCTTGGGCTTCATACTTTCCTCAGGCAGGTAACATTCTTGTCACAACTACAGAAAGTAAGGCACATGGGAAAAACTGATATAGAATGATATAATGAGTATAATGAAGTTTACCCTTTGGGTAAAGAAAAATCCAGCTACCGTGTGACTAAACAGCTTGTGTCAGGAAGAACTCTTTGGACCACATCTAGACCTATACAACTGTAAACAGCTGGCTTAGAACACAGAGCAAGGTACATATGTTTGTACCTTTCCAAAAGTCCTGAAGTTCTGAATCTGAAACCTTGTGAAATCAGTTATTTGATCTGGAAGCAGGAGATGAATGCTCCTAGTTCATGTCACAAAATGATTGCTAGAGCTTTTTAGCAAGTTTAAAAACAAAAATAACAAGACTTAAAAACAAAGATAGCAAACCACAGAATTATACACTGGTATAACTCTCGCACAAGCTAAGACGAGAAAACCAGTCACAAGCTAACTGAGGAAAAATGTCCTTTCCCGATACTGAGAATTTAAAAGTCTCACAATGAACTTGGCATTACTGCCTTTTCCAAACCAAAACGCTATTGTTCTGTGCATTAGTAATGAGAAGTCACTGACCGGGAAGCTTCTAGGATTCAATGTCTTTTAAAAGCTGATTCTGCTCAGAATCAAACTGACTGAAAAAATGTTTTGCAGTGAAACCTGGAACTAAAGATGACAGCAAGTGAAGCAGAGGTGTCCTCGAGGTCCTCATCAGATAATCCGTACCTAAACTTACAATGTTGCAAGTGTATACATGACCATGACTGTCCAGATAAATGACGAAAAGCACCTGGCCCCAGACTTCTGCCTTTGATGTGCACTGATACAAACTGCAACTGCCTGAAAGCACACAGGCAACTCAGCAGGCAACACACTCCTGTGCCCAGATTAAAACTTCATGCCTTGTTCAGACATCCATGATTCACTGGGAAAAGTTGACCACAGTATGCAGTCGTACAAAGAAGAAATGACCTAAAAAAAAAAGGGGACTACTGGTCACAGGAATACCTGCAAGACAGGGTAGTGCCAAGACAAATTATGTCCCCATCTGTCCACAAACAGCACGTGAGGCCTCTTTCCTATGAGCTTTTGCTGATATTGGCAGTACCTCAGGAAGAAAACAATCGAATGTCCTTCAAACCTGTGTACTCAAGAAAACTAAGTAAGAAAACTACATGAGAGAGAACACGAGGTTTTCCCCAAAGCACCACAGTGCTCTCTGGACTGAGCTTGTAAGGTGTCATTCCTCTGAGATCGTTCCAATATTCTGATGTGCCACTATGAAAGCTATGACTGTTCATCACTATCCCTAAAGAGAAGAGCAGAGCAGGCAGAACAGCTCCTGCAAACAGACTGAGAACACTGGGTTGCTCATCTAATAAAGAACACGTGACAGAAAAATAATGAAATGTAAATTGGACAACAAAATTGACAGAGGCTACCGTAGGCTCTTAAAAGAGAGAAGACATTTGTCTTTTACATGTGCAAAACATACCGTAACTCAGTTTGATGCTGCAAGATGTCAAAGCTATTTCTATGAGAAGGGAGATCAACACGAAATTTGTACTTGACTTTCAAATAACATTGTTAAGGTCAAGAATTCAAGATTTAAAAAAGTGCTAACAGAAGTATTATAATACAAATGAATTAATGCAAAAAAAATAAACTAGAGTTTTGGGATGGGTATAAACTCACATGCTTCAGCTCTTAACCCAAACTTTGACTACTGTCAGTTGGGAAAAGATTAGCTTCTCTTACTAATCACATACTTAGCCAAATTTCCTCTTTCAAACTCCTGGTATTGTCTCCTGAAAGGAACAAAACACTCTATAGACTTTCTGTCTAATTCAGTTTCCAATGAAATATTTTTTCAGTTCTTATTTCACTGATTTCAAGTGAAAATTTCTTCTATTAAGTAGGGTGAATACTGAAACCATTTGCCTGGTCCCATGCTTTACCTAAAATTTTATCACTAAACAGCATGTCCTCTTTTACTACTTCTCTGCAACTTTGAGAAAACCTATGGTTAGATCTTCCTAATTCTGATTTACTGTAAGACAAGAGTAACTATTGCCCAGGGTTCATTCATTACTTTTTGTTTTCCAATGTATCCAAAAAGAAATGCTATGTATCTTCAGTAAGGATAACCAAAGAAGCCACATATGCATATCTTGAAATCAGGTAAGTACTGCAGTAAATAGTGCAGCCCTAGTTCATTTATTGTTTGTCTTGGGTTCATTTTTTTCCCATAGAAATACAGTGCATCTTCTATAAGAAGTTTCTTCAAAAGAAACTGTTTGTATCTATAACTAGCAGATCACTGACAGAGCTAACAGGTGCTGGCTCTTCCTCCTTTAGTCCAAGGCTGACATTTGATGACAAACTAGTCTGGAATGAAGAGGCAGATAAAAATAGCAGTCTCCCTCTGCCCACAACGAAAAGAGAGAAGAAGTCTCAAGACTTTTCTCTACTTTCTGGGGACAAAACTCTAGGGAGGCAATGAGAAGGAAAGCAAGGGTCAAGAGACAAGGGAGGCATCAGTTCAGGGCTTGGGAGTGGAAACCTAGAAGTCTCACACTGGCTCTTTCAAGCAGATCACTTTCTCCTATTGGGCAACTTGCATATTTTGTTCTTGAATGGTAGTGCTAGAATTGATATAACTATGTTTAAATTGCCATGCTGCAGCATGCAAAGCTCCTTAAGCATGTTTTCATGGTATTGGGATTTCCTGTCCTACATGAGATTTGCATCGATTTGCCTGCTCGCTCCAGTATATGAACTATGAGAAAATCAAGCGTGTGGTACTTCAGAAGGTGACTCCTATTTAGCACAGCTGTATAATTACATCTTCAGCTTCTAAAAAAACCATCACATTTGGTGCAGCATACTATTGACGAGGCTGCTGTAGCAGTATGATCCTTGAATGGAGAAGAAACATGTTAATGGCACTGTTGTTCATTCTTCAGCAAGGTGCTTTTCTGCCCTTACACTAATAGTAACAGCCAGACCTAGCGCTCGGATTGCTTCCTAACAATCCCAGTACTTCGAAAACAGAAACTGGACTACGCACAAAACAAATGGGCAACTCTTGAGTCTGAAAGGTAAAGCCATTCTGTCAGAAGGTGGGGTGGGTTTGTGTGGTTTTTCTTTGGGTTCTTTTGGGGAACGCATTACAGCTTTTTCACTGGTAAGAATCTCCCTCCCAGTCACAAGGAATCAAGTTAGCGGATCCTCAAAACTGATTGTGTCTCAACCAAGACTTAATAATTGCTGAACACATATCGCTAATTAGGATCAAAGTCCAAGTAAAAAGGTTTAGCTTAAACTACATTTTAAAAACGTTAACTTCATAGACTCTACTAACACAACAGCTTGCAATCATATGGACATACTCTCAGCTGCTGCTACCTAGTAGTTGAATTAATGCACAATATCTAGTCTTTTGTGGTATTTTTTTTTTTTTGTGGTACTTGGCCTATAAGAAACATCACAAGCACTTCTGCAGTAACCGTTCGGCCCTCTTTGGTCAAAAGTAAACTTCTCTCGGAATTAAGTGCTATGTAAAAACAACTGGCTGCAGATGCAGGGGGTGGTCCGGTTGGCATGGACTGACAGCCATGGGATTGAACGGGAGAGAGGACCTCACCCGTCACACCTCCTGAAAAGCAAACAGCCGAGCGCTTCAGAAGGACAGTGATGTTTGCTCAGAGGCAACCCCTCACCAAAAACTGCTTAGCAGAGCTTTTACGAAACTAATTTCACAAAGAAGGGAAAAGTGCAAGGGGGAGTGTAGGAGACGAGAAGAGGCGATTTGCTGAGGGGCGACAGGTATGTGGAGAATTGTGTACAGAGGGATGGGTAACCCTGACCTCCCACCCCCTGCCTCCCCTCTGCCCCCCGAAACACGCGAAGGGGTTCCTGCAGGTTGTTCTGGTCGGTCTTCCCGAAGGCAGCTCCAGGAAGGCACGGTTCCCGGCCCTCCTCTCCCAGGGCCCTGAAGGGAAACGGGACGCGGGGAAGCCTCGACACCACACTCCCCCCTCCCCGGGCCGCTCTGCCCTCAGCGCCCCGTCCCACCGTTACCTTCTCAGCCTGGGCGAGGTAGAGCCAGAGGCGGCGCCAAGTGCCGAACTTCTTCCTCTCGCTGAAGTTGTAGCCCATCTCGGCGCTGGCGTACCGCGACACCAGCGGGGAGCGGTACCGCGCCATCACGTCCTCCTCCTCTCCGGGGGCCGCCATGGCAGCGCTTGCGGGGCAGGGCGATCACCGGCACCGGGCAGAGCCCGCGGGCAGCGGGGGATAAGGGCGGGCGGCGGCCCCGCCCCGCGGCCCTCAGGCGACCCCGCCCCCGCCGCCATGGTGGGCCCGGCTCGGGCCCTCGGCGCCCCCTGGCGCTCGGAGGCCGCCGCGCCCTGAGGGGCCCCGAGATGGCGGCGGCTGAGGGAGACGCGCGGGGTACACAAAACGGGCAGAAAATACGAGCTTTAAATGCTTAGCAGCCAAACACATTTATTAGTCTTTTTTTTTTTTTTTCCAGGAACCCAAAAATAGTTTGTAGTTATAATGTAAGCAACTGAGTTGCACATAATACAATCATATCTTTCAAAAAAAATTAAAAATAAAATAAAAACGAAAAAAGCTGTTTAAAAGCCCAAAAAAAAAAAACCTTCAGAAAACTTATATAAGTATTACACCATCTCTCAGTTTCAATGAAATGACGACGACTTAATTCCTTATTACTCTTAACTTGTCACACTCCAATAAAACATCACCCTTTTTTTTTTTTTTTTTTTTTTTTTTTTCCTAAATCCAGCATGAGAAATACAGTACCTGCTATGGCAAAAATACACAAAAAATGCAACATTTCAGCTTATTTGTACATTAGTAGAGTTTAAACATCTTATTGGTTTTTTTCTTTTTAAGTGAACCAGTGATCTTAAGTACCACTATACTAAAAGTAAAATAAAAATATAGAAAAGGAGGAAAAGGGGGGCAGCCAGCCATACAAGAGCACCTTCTAAAGTGCTGAGTTTCTGTGTCCATGGAAAACCTTTAGAAAGTTTAAATATCTCTTGAGAATATGGGATGGAAATTAAGATGAAACCTGGATATGCAAGACATTGTGTCATCTCCTCTACATTCTCCCCATTTGTCCTGCAATTTTACTGCACACTATAGAAGGAGGGGAGAAACCAGAATTAAGGTGAGATTAGTAAAGAAAGCCATTTCAAGTATAAGGAAAAAAAATAAACACTTACAGGTAACTTGCAAATAGCATCAATATACACACAGCCACTATCTTTATTATTACAATGTCTGCTTCTGGGGGACAGTGTTTCAGGCAAGAGGACTTTAGCTGTACCTTCCTGTTACCTATTTGTGTGCAAAGTAGAAAAGCTGCCTTTTCTAATCCAGCCATATTGGACATCATCGATTTTCTGTTCTGCCACTTCATTCCTCCCAATTAGTAAGGAGAGAAGAAGGTGGCATTATTTTACCAAGAAGACTAGATGAAATGAATCTATTTCTCCATTTTCCTCCAGACACACCCTTCTCCCATTAGTTGTTTGCAATGAAGAGAAACTCTCTAAACTCCTGATGCCCACCAGTAGCCAGTTTCCTGAACAGGTAGAAGGCATTTACCTTTGTAAACATAATCCCTTATGTTTGTGGAACTCAAAGCAGCATCTCTTATCTCCAGCCAAGTGGCGGAGACAAAAATAGATCAGAACGCTCCCCTGTCACTGCTTTTCCTCCTCCCCCTCCCTCCCCCGTCCCCAGAAAGATTAGATTTGGTTACTTTTGTTAGAAGGTGGGGGTTTTTTGGTTCTTTGGGGAAAACACTTAGCATTTCATTTGAAGTAAACATTACAGAATTACCATCAGGGTCATACTGATGTTTGTTCTGCTTTCTAGATGAGAAAAAAAAAAGTACTGTGCATCAGGTTCTGAGTGTTTTAGAGCAGATGTGGCAAAAATCTAAGATACAGATGTGTGTAAATCCCAAAGATGCACATGCATCATTTCAGCTTCTTTCTCTCTAGAATCACTGTTTACACTTCATCTTGATTACTGGCAGAAATGGAGAGGGTGGCACAGGGCAACAACGGAGAGATGTTCCTAAGGCCATGGGGAGCAATGCAGGACAGAGAGGACCAGGGAGTGTCAAACAGAAAGGTTTCAGGTATAGAAACCGTGTTCTTGGTATTTCAAATGCCAAATTCCAAAAGGCATGGGCTCATATGCACATCCCTGAGACGCACATCCAAGAAAGAAGAAGCAGCGACCACATGACTGAGAGGGGAGAAAGTAGCAGAGGTTCCCTGACAGCTGTGGGATTTACCCAATGAAGACCTCTTCCCCCACCACCCTCCCAGAGACATTCTGAGAGAGCTGTAAGGCATATACACAAGCAGCATCTGCTATCATTCCCTCTGTTCCTACGTTTTATTGGCAGGTGATGGCTTCTGTATATTGTGGACAAGAAGATACACTGCATTTGAAGTGTTACTGGTAACACACTGAAATTAACTCAGGGAAGGAAACAGAAAGCTACTCTGCCCTTTATCCCTGGAGCAGCAGCATAAAGGAGCAAGGTTCTTCATCTTACAGTCCCCTCTCTGAAACTACACACCACCACCTCCCCCTTCATGATGGCAGGAAAAGATGTGTCTACTTGAAAGATGACATTACCAAAAATGCTATTCAATGGCAGGGAAGAGTACACAAACTTATTCTGATTTGGTGATCTGGTGAAAGAAGCAGCAAGCTTAAAGTACTTCAATTTTGAAGCTTATAGACGTGTGTGACCTCTAGCAACACTGGCACAACTATATAAAAAAGAGCAGGAGAAGATAACAGGCATAAAGAAGGAGTTTGAGTAACTGAATCTCCATCAACTTCTATAATTTAGGATCTGAGTGTTTGATGGCTTTAATAATTAAAAGAAAAAAGGGTTATCTCCCTCCACATAAGCAAACAATGTGAAAAGAACGAGCGAACTTGCTCTGAAAACCTCATAATACTTCTATTATGCTTTTTTCTTTAAAGCACTTTACAAACATTACTAGTTGATCCTCACAAAACCCCTGTGAGGTAGGTAAGTATTATTAACAACCCCGCTTTACAGATGAAAAAACAAAGGCAAAGTAGTTAAATGATTTGCCCAAGGCAAGGGAAGAGTAATGGCCAATGTTAGAATTCAGGAGTTCCAGGCTTGTGCTCTAAATCACAAGTTCAAACATCTTTTTAGAAAGGAGATAACAGATGGAAATAGAATTCCAACAAGTATAGAAGAAAAGATTAAAAAGGTTACATTAGAAGGGGAAGTGTACCACGAGGTATTTTAGTGAGTGAGTTTAAACTTCAGATTTTTTTTTTTCCTTTTGTAATTTTTTTTAAAGGCAATCTGACAGAGTGGAACCCTGATAAGATCGCATCTGCAAGGCAGGCACAGATGCGAGAGGGATCATCAAGTCTATTACTTATTACAGTACTGTGAATGTCAACAAAAACAAAATTGCTGCATGAAAACACTGAATACAGGCAGGATAATCTGTTTCTGATATTACACCTACGATAATGCCAAGGATAATGCAGGTACCATGGTTCACCATGGACAAAGGAAAAAGTCAAGTCAAAAGGTCCCTATTACAATAACAGAGAGGGCAATGAGATCTATATTTTTCTGAGGAGACTGCTCCTGGAAACTTAGCAAGCTTCAAGGAACATACATAATCCACAATGAGTGCATTTTGGAGATATGAGGAGGTAAATACTTTTTTTATGACCATTATGACATCACCTCTCAGTAAAAATAGGATAACTTCTTCTAAATAGAGAGGACCTGGCCTACGTGTCAATCTACTTTCCTAGAATTTCACACACTGCCAACATTAATGCTAAGTCACTAGCAGTAACACCAGACAACAAAGCACTGATGGCTACTGATGTTGAAAAAATGCAGTCCTCATAGTCGGGCTTTGATCAGCACTTGAAAGTAAGTACCATCTCCAACATCTTGTCCACAGCTGTGCCGTCACTGTACGAGCTGTGCCAGAAACAGCAGCAAAGGAAACTTTAGGGAGAAGGAAGTGTAGATACCAAGGACCAGCTATGTTCCAATTCTCGTGGAAGAGCACAAGGACTGCTGTGATGGAAAACTAGTAGTAAATTGAAAAAAAGACAGTGCCTATGGCACCATGTTTCCTGAGCTTAGCAAGGGCCAGAACACAGGAGGCGGTAGATAGTTCCCCAGGTAGAGCTGGTGTCCCACTCACCCTTTCGGCCCTGGGTTAACACTGCATGGCAAGAATTCACATCCCTGTGCAAGGCTGAGAGCTGATTTTGTTTTGCACTCAACATTAGTTTTTCAAATCTCTGCTCAGTTACCTATTGGCCAATGTCTGACAAAGAGAGGTTCTTATCAATTCCTTCTTATTTCAAAGTCATCACCTCCCCACTTCCCCAAACTATAATGGATAGACCATGGACACAGAAACTCCCGAACAGTTTAGCAAAGTATCTTTGTCCCCTACGCCCCCTTTGCAGAATGCATAGTTTACAATTCACTTACAAAATAAAGAAGCAATGCTGACCACATATGGGACCTTTTTTTTTTTTGAAAAAAGAACAAACAACCTCTTCTTAAGTTCAGTATCAAAATTCACATTTGCATAATAATACATTTCAAGGCCATTAGAGAGGAATGAGAGCGAAGCAAAGAAAACTGCAGAGTCTCTCCTCTCTTTGTCTTCCTGAATAGAGCTGAGGGATCCCACTGGAGTTTTTTTTCAGGGTGGGAATTAGGAAGGGCTACAACAACAGCTCTTGATCTTGTACACCTCGTATTTTTGGGTGGGACGAAGAGGTGAATTATTAGAGAAAAAAACAAATGGAAGGAGACACTGCAGATTCCCATGTTTAGCTACAAACAGCTTTGAAGAAACAAAAAATTACTTCAGATTTTTTTTCCTTTTAAACACTTCTACCTCACCATTTCAAAAAACTCTTTTTTTTTTCTTCTTGTGTAATACCCTGTTCATTTAAATGGCAACGTTAAGTGTGCTGGAAGTTGAAGGGTTGAAAAAAAACCTTTTCCTGTTTTGCTTATCAGGACTCGGGCAGAGAGGGTAAAAGTGTGCCTGCACCCACTATTTAACAGAAGCTACAAAACATCATCTTCTCTACATGTATAAATTTGTCTCAAACATCACTGTGTTTCAATTCTCCAGTGCTTACAAAAAAACAAAGCTACACACACTCACACTCATGCACACAAACATAAAGAGAAGCCACATAATACATATAGAAACTCAACCTGCAACGGCAGACTACCCTAAAACTATCAACAGCTTCTGTGCATCACATGACATCCCTTTGCACCCCCCACCCCAATCTCTACCACATATGAATACGTATTGTGCAGTGTAGAGACCAGCCCAAAGATGATGCTTGTCAAAAGGGACCAGTGGGCTGTAATCTCAATGTCTGACCTCTTGAAAGAATAAATTGACCATTGTCTCCCCTCCAGCCCAAGTGGTCTCCTCAATTAGACAGTCACTATACTCACAAAGGCACATTCATAAATACCACATTTAACTTACTGCTTGTAAAAACATAGGAGGAAAATGTTAAGCGCTTATACCCCGACCCATTCCTACTGACCCAGCAAGAAGTATCACAATAACGTATCACTTGGTGAGACCTTACTCCACCTTTAGAAGGTACATAATAAAGAACTCTTCCAACACCTCTTTTAATTTTATTTTTTTTTTGCATAAATGAATGCTTTTTTGTTTTTGGCTTACATATTTTGGAATACAGCACACTCACTATAAAGCTCTGTTGTAAGGCTACCCCCTAAAGTAAGGCTGTTCTACCTTGGCTTGCATTTTCACTTCATTTTGCTTCTTCTCCACACGTTCCCCAAACAAAACAAAAAAACCCACACAGCGCCTTATACAGAAAGGGTAAGCCATATCCGGCAGGGAGAGGGAGGGGAAAGAAAGCACATAATATCATAACCATGTCACTAAAATAGCTATTCTAACAAGCTGTGCAACCTGCTCAACAGCAAATGATGAAAAAAATGTTCACTTCTGGTTGGTTGTGTTTCATCTGAAACAGGAGGAGCTTCCATTTTCTCTCTATTTAAAAAACCCCAAAACTTAAAAAACCCAAGTAAGTTAGTTCTGTGAATGTAAAACCACACACCAATACCCAAGAAGAGGCATTTCTTGCCAAGCAGTGCCTCCTTGTATTGCGCGTTCATGCAAAATTCTCCAGTCTCTTCCCCTCCATCCACCACAGTCAAGAATGTCTGCTGCAAAAATACTTAAATACTTAACGCTGGCTGGCACAATGCATTCTTCCCTTTTTTTTTTTTCTTTTTCTTTTTCCCTGGAGTGCTCTGTATTAATTTACAGAAAGGCTGTCAGAGTCAAGTCAAAAAACTCCCTTTCTTGCTACAAAGTTAACAGGAACCCTAACACTGCTGAATGTCACCAGTCCCAACTGTCACACATACAGGGCAAAAATGGCTCTTTCGTAGAGGGCACTTGATTTGCTAGAAGCTTGCTTATATAGCACAGGACTCTGGGAGACTTCTAGAGAAAACCTTTCCTGCATAGATTGATGAAAAGCAACACGCAAGCAAACCGTGGATGCAAACGGATGTTGTCTGCTGCGTGCCACAGATGAAACGGCATCTATTGTGGCCTGATAAGTTTTAAAAACAGGCTCCAAACCACCAGGAGCTGTGATGCTTTCTGTAGCACAAATGAAACCTTAAATCACTTTTCATATAAGGATTAGAAGCTATATTTACTACATCACAAAGTTTAAAGTTACTAACGTCACAGAATAGAGAGCTATATTTTAAACAGGACCCTGACTCAGTTTTAACAGCAATGTAGACAGACTCTTGAAGCAGGTAAAGCTCTGCTTCGTGAGTCATCACAAAGTGGACCTGCTTCCTATTATCTACTACTGCAGGGGAACTTTGGTAGAATTCAGCAACACTGGTATTTACAGTGATGGGACACTTAGGCAAAATGTTGTGAAGGACATGAACTAGCAAGGCTGCTAAAAGTCTCCAGTTCAGCTCCTGTTGTATAGTCCAATCAACAGCTCAGCTACAGCATAATTGTTGCTTTGTGGTTTAAGTTTGGATGTGAATTCAGGACAACAGAGAAAATCAGTTCTGTGTACACTGGGAAACTTCACATACTTCTTCCCATTACTGTTAACGTCCTTCTGCCACAGGTGGAAGCCTAGTACTGGAGGTGAAGGGAAAGAAAGAGTGTGGGTTTTAGATATCTGTCTTTTCATCACAGTGGGAATGATTGATATGATCTAACAGTGTCAGTTCCTACAACTGCAAAATAGCGGCAAATGAACTACAGAACTGAAATGATATTTTGTGCAAAATCAATTTAGACAAACCAACAGATTCTCTGTATGTTGCTTCACATTCAGGACCAAAGTTGCACTTCAACAGCATTTGTTTGTTGTTGTTTTTGTTTTTTTTTTAAGAATTAATTTTAACATAGTTTTCTTGGTATTACTTTCCTGCCCACAAAGCATGCATGCATATTTACAATTAAGAAAGCTGCTTCTGTTAAGGGAACCTTACATCTTTAGAAAGAAAAAGTTACGTTTCACTCAGTCAGGACTCGTACCCTGAGATGCTAACCATCCTCCACAAAAACTACATTTCAATCCACTGGAGAAACCTGGCTACTAAAGTCACGTGATTTACTGACAATGTGATATATGCAACACAGATGTTTGCTGCATCGGAAATACAAAAGGTCCTCATCTGCTACCTTGGCCCTGATCCAGCTAAGGTTTATTTATACAAAGAGCCCTTAGTCGAGTAGTAATGCATTTAAGGTCAGTAGGACTAATTCATGCAAAGATCACTCCTGATTTCCTGGACCAGACCTGGCCAAATTTGGGTGCCTCAGATACACAAACAGTGCTCCTCTTAAAGTCAACAGGAAAACAACGTGTGCAAACAGAATCAGAAACCTAAGAGTTAAACATCATAAAGAATGAATCAAAAATACAACCAAACCAAGAAAAAACCTCTGTGGTACTATTTGGATACACGTTTAGACAAAATGCAATCTGTGGCAACATTTTTAGGAGAAAAAATAGGGCAAATGTTTTAAGGAATAAATGCTTAGAAATTTCATTATTAAAAAAAAGTCAACTTAATATAAATGTTTAATTGTTATTTAATCTTTAAGGTGGTTATACCACCCAATTCGTTGAAAATATCTTGTTTATATTGTAGAGGTAAAAACACAGTTGGCTTAACATTTTTGTTCATTACACAAGCCACTTAATGTGAAGCACAATAAAAAAGACCTCTAAGAAAAACCTGACACCCTGTGATTATAAAAAAACCAAACCAACAAAACCCCCACTCTCACGACTGCTGGGCAAGTGTCCAGGCAGAAACATAAAAACACTGTGAAAAGATGGCAATTCTTCCAAAGCCCCTTGCTAGACTTAGTTGTCACTGCTAAAATTAAATCCTCAAATGGAGCAAAAAATTATCAAACATTTAAAAACTCTCAGTTTGATAGACACTGAAGAGTAGGGTAAGCAAAGTGGCTGGATTTGTATCTGGATGGAAATACCCATAGTCTATTCCAACCTGTCCTCTCGCCAGCCTCTTTTCCCTACCTTCCCAATACATTTAAAAAAGACACTGCCACTGATTCCTTCCCTGGAGCAGTTTTGTAAAAACCCAAAAGTACACTAACATCAATTCCTGCTGACTTTTTGCTGTTATGAGCTCAAATGGTAGCAGAATTTTTATAACATTAAGCAATGGTTGTCCCCAGTAGATGAGTCTGGTTAGCAGAATGCTCAGAGTGCAGTTGTAGTAGCACGGTTAGGAGTGCCATGACTAAGCCATACATATCTGTCAACTGTAGCTGAAAACCAGCAAGATTAACGTTACTTTAACAATTTAGGGAAACTGTCACTGAGGAGACAGTCACTAGCGCTTACAGGACTGTACATTTAGGAAAGGAGGAGCAGACTGTTGTACTACAATAGATTTGGACCCAGGAGACTGCTGAAACTCCAGACTGTCAACCCTTCAGCGCTCAGTCACAACCCACTTCCAAGTGAATGTCAAGTCTGTTGACTTTTTTTTATTAAATGCTATGGTTTCTTCTCTTTCAGGACACTGCTGATTCGATAAAACACAGCTTCTGGCAAAGCACTCAAATTCTCTCCATAAAACAAACTAAAAAATAAAATCCCAAAGCTCCTAAGTAAACCCTCCTTCTACTGGCCCATTTTAAAGCACATTATTATTACTACTGATGCATTATTTTCAATAGACTAACATGCACACGCAGCACAACATGAAAACACTGGGCAACTGCTATGAAAAAGACAGAATTTGGCATCTGATTTCTTTACTAATAAAATCTCAATTACTATTAAGTAACTCATTGCACAACATGCTTATGCAGCATGCTCTTCTTCCTTAAGAAGGGGTACATCTATTTCCATGAAGTGGCTATACTGCCTCACTTTGCCTCGTCTTCCCTCCCTTCCCCCACTGTAGGGCATGTGGGTGCATGTAAAAAGGCACTAGCGCGGTTTTTGTGGTTTGAGCCTGGCCGTTTCAGGCGCAGTAAGCCCCTGACCCTTAGAGCTGGGAGACAGAAGTTGGCCATCCCAACGCTGAACTCTGAAGTTCAAGAGTGTAAGCCCTCACAGCCAGCAGCAACAGGGTGAACAGAGGAGTTTAACAGATATTTCCCTCATATAAAATAAAACAAAGACTGGGAGGAGGGGTGAGTGAAGAAAAGCGAGCAGCAGGTCTCCAAGTGTGGAATAAAACTGACCAAATAGCTGAAAACAGCAAAGTTAATTTCCAATGTACATTTTAATGGAGTTTTTCATATTCTTTTTTTTTTCTGTACTGAAAAAGGCAGGATAATAAACCTACTTCATTACTGAGTATTCTGTCAGCACTGGTTTTCTTTAGCACTACTTAGAAGTGGTTCGAAGAAGCACCATCATGTATTTCCTGCTGGTCCTCCTAACTGAGGACTCTTTCAGTTAAACTATACTGCATTTTAATAAGGTTTATAGATTCACTTTGCTTTTAAAAAAGGTGCTTGAAGAGTATTTCATTTAGTTTCAATCAAGAGGGAACAATAGATTTCCATTCACACACTTCTCCATGCAACTGCACACATGTCTGCATGAGTAATAAAGCACTATAAATGATAACCCTTCTTCTCCCACAACTTGTTTAAGATTGCAATGAATTCCTGTTGCTGATATTGAGAAGTTTTCTTAATGTACTTTAATTTAGAAAGTCTAAAATTCTTGATCCCTCGCTTGACAGTAACATTTGGAGATTTTTCTTTTCTTTTTTTTTCTTTTTATTTTTTTTTTTAGCATTTTTCTTTTAAAGTAAAAACTTTCAAACATTTTGAAGATTCAGGAACTTGTAAAAGTTTATCAACAAGAAACAGCCATCTATCTAGGATAAGGTTAAATAAACCATCTTCAAAAAACTGGCTTCCTACCCTAGAATTCCTGAGAATGCTTGCAAATTTAAAGCAGGAAAATAAAATGTTAAAATAAAAACAAAAACACTGTTAAATGCTCCCAGAGTTAGTCTTCATCTAAAATATATATATGCACTTTTTGGTCTTTTTTTTTTTTTTTTTGTATGTTTTAATTTTTTTCCCTTTAAGCTTACAATGGAAGAACAATTTAGCTTTTCTTTTTAAATATTTCAAATCCCTCATTACGTCTTGTAAACAAGAGGGGCTCTAGCACCCGGCTTTCACCGTAGTATCGCAATGAACTCAACTAGCCCAAAGTGCAGGAAAAGGGACCTTAGGGCAGGTTGGGAGAGAGAAGTGAGGGTGAAACACAGCAATGAACCAGCATGTATAGCAAAATCATGTGACAGAACAGATACTGGCTTGCTCAGGCCAAAGGTGCTTCACTAGGAAGTACTGCTGGCACAGGACTTTTAAGAACCTGCTCTGCGTGTCCGAGAGCGGCTGGTCTTCGAGCAGAGACTAGAAACAAAGCTTTATGGATGTCTGCACGCAAGGGCCACTAGCTAGATAGCAGGAGTTGAAAGAGAGCACTTTGTTTCTTTGTGCATGGTGGGAGAGATGAAGGAGGAGATGTGATAGGAAAGTATATTCCAAAGGGGCCAGAGTATGCTGCACACTCCAGTTTACTACACAAATACAAACCTACTCGTACTTTTTTACCATGTAACACTTTGCATACAAATCTACAGGCATGTGTATATGCAGCATTTCCCTCAGTCAGTCTTCCTTGTGACATTGGGTTTACATAGAAAGGGCGAATTAAAACAGCCACGTAATTCCCTAGCCCTTCCCTCCCCCCACCCAGCACACAGGCGCGCGCACACACACACACACACATCCCCACCCCATTGCTTGCATCTGCTTTGCCTTCTCCCCACCAAACCCACATGTAGAGTTAAATGTTTCAGACACGGTTGGATCCTTCAATGAAAATGCTTAAGAAACAGACTCCCCTATCCTCCCTGCTCCACCAGGTAATAAAGCCCGAGCACTGCTACCTCTGAGAGCTGGAATGGACAGGTATATGCTGGTACAGAATGTCGGCACTTTGTTAGACAGTATAACGGCCAGACAATGCCACATGGAAGTCCTAGCACTTATGGAAAAAGTACCGGCATCTCTCTTCCCTCTTCTCCTGGCCCCACTCCCATAAAAGACTTCCTGCTTCATGTCAAGGGATGTGCCTTCAAGTCTGCTACAACTCTTTTCACAACAACAGGTCTTAAAAAGTTTTGTTCCCAGCGCACACACGCACACACACACTGGCTATCACTGTGGATTATAGGTCACCCCTATCCTGCCCAGAGTACTACTTACACTGATGCTAAAAAACCCCAAACCTTTCCTTAAATACAGAAATTAAAAAGCAACAGTACAGAAAAAGTAAAAACAAAAAAAACAAAAAGGTGCAATACTTTTTAAAAAAAAAAAGTCTTTGCTAGTTATATACCTCCCTAAGCGAAACCACATACACAGGAAAAAACACAACACAGAGAAACAAAAGGAAACCTTTGAAGTACACACTGGTTTAAGAACATTCGTAAGTAAACGTTTCTGTCAGTGATGGTCTGGCGCTGTAATGACACCGAGGCCTGGCACAGGTAACGCTCACCATGAAGGACGCAGGAAGGAGTCGGCTGCATGTGCTTTCAGGAGATGAGGCAGGCCGGCCAGCAGTCTGCTGACACGATTTAGTTTTCTGTCAGTTTTAATACAAGCAGTAAATCAATTAAAAGGTTAATTTGGTTGGGCTGGACTTTCAAGCTTTTGATGGATTCCTCTAGAATGAATATGGGTGCTTATTCAGGTTTGGGGGAGAAAAGAAACACTCGTTTTTAAAGGTACTGAAGCTTGCAACAGACTGAGTAAGAACATTTGTCTTAGCTGCACAAAAAACGGCAATGTCTTCTTTCCTCCTCTTTTCCCCTTGTTGGAAGAAATAAATGGCTTGCATTATATAACAAACATTCTAGGGTTCATTCAGTACAAAAACCCCACATGCAGACATAAATAAAGACACTGCTACTCATAAGACAACATTGTCTCTCCCCTCTCACCAAATCCTTTGGATATGGCAGTGTTCTGCTCTACCACAGGGTTAGAACAAGGGCTAGGAAGCAACTATCCACTCTGTATGATCTGCAGACTTGAGATAGCACCCTGCTAAAATGAATTTAGAAAAACCTACTGACAAATTTTAATCCAGCCCAACTGGATTCTGCTTCAGCCACAGGGACTCCACCATGCCTGTCTTGTTTTCAGAATCAAGACATGCAGATGGCCAGCCAGCCCGTAGACCATCAGCAATGCAGCGATTCAAGATTATATATAGAGAGAGAAAAAAATGCACACACACAAACATGTGCACACGCACTCACACAGAAACAAGCACACGTGGGCAGTTACATGTGCCAGAACACACTGGTACGTATCAACCAGCCAATCACAAAGTGTTGGTTTTTCTGTTTTGTTTGTTTGTTTTTTCTTTTTTTTCCTCTTTTTTTTTTTTTTTGGTGGGTTTTTTAAAATTTTTAAATTTTTTTAGGTTTTTTTTTAGTTTTTTTTGTTTTTAAAGTGAGGCTCCGTCAAGTCTTTCCCTCCCCCCCCATTTCTCTTTTGAACCCCTCCCCTTCCCCAACCCAACATGGTAGACCTAAGGACGGAAACACACCCAGTGCAAACAAAGTTAAAAAGCTATTTTTTCAGTATATATGTTTCTTAGCAACAACTTCCGTATAACATGAAAAAGTGAAAAACTAGAAACTAATTTTTTTAATTTTTTCTGTTTAAATTTAAATGGTATGTGTACTTGCTTCACATTGTCTTTCTACGTTGGCGTTCACGATTCAAGTATTTCAAGAGTGATATGTTCTCTTTTTTGGATTCATATTCCAAACGAAAAAACTGAAGTTATATAAGGGAGGCAACTATGTGCTCAGACAGTCTGTCAATGACCCACCTTTTTTTCTTTCTCCATTTTCTTTTTTCCTTTTATAAATGTATTTATTGCAAGTTGAAAAAAACGAAAAGGTCAAGTTAGTGCTGCTGCTGTTCCAAAAAAGGTCACGAGGTCAGAGTTGAAAGTTCTAAGTTCAGATTGAATCCGACCCTCCTCCCAGAAGGTCTCCAGGTAGTAAGGGAGCAGGGCTGCCCATTCTGTGTGGATCCTCTACGCTTGGGACCCCCCACAAGCTTGAAGAATAGTTTGGGGGCCCCCACAGTGAAGCGCCAGTGAGATCACCCCCACTGCTGCCGCCGCCGCCACCACTGCTCCACTGCCCAAGCCCTGTTGACCCACCAAAGAGATTCAAAGCAGGTCCAACTGGATCTGTCTGGTTCTGTCCTGTCTCCAGGGATTGCCAGCCTGCTGCAGGTGCGCTCGGAGTTGCTGCAGGTGTAGGGGGCTGAGCTTGTGCCAGAAAGCGACTAACCTCTTCATCGGTGGCAAACTCAGCCAGGATGGTAGTGTTTCCCAACACACACCTAGCAAGACAAGATATATGCAAGTAAAAAAATTAGAACCAGAAGCTAAGGGTAAGGGATTCAGAAGCACACGAACAGTACTATTAGGTGCCCAAAACAAAGGAAATTATCAGCTACATTGCTATAATGGAATGAACATGGAAAACTTCAGCTGTTCTTGACAGTGACACTGACTCTAAACACAAGAACTCCCCATTTTACAAGGGGAAAAAAACCCGACTCCCCAGCCCAACACTCAGTTATGCCTGCAACAAATTCTTTCTAAATTTCAACTAAGGTTAACACCAGGAACAATGTAAATGCCCATACAGTGCAGGCAAAATGGTTAACACATACATGTCAACTTTCAAACAGAACAGAGGAAGAACAGGTTTTAAGTGCAGGATATTAGTACAGTTCAAAAGTTTTCACTGAGCTTAGGGGCTTAAACCACACCTCCCTTACTACCCACCCTAAGATTTTTGTCCCAAATCCTTGCTTACATGTGCAGTGCAGTCTGGGCCTTGGCCGCCTCCTGTTTGGTGTTATATCGGATGAGGGCGGTGCCCTGGGTCAGGTTCAGATGGAATGTCAGCAGTGGGCCATGCTGCATGCAGATCGTCCTCAAGGTTGACCCATCAATCTGAAGAAGAACAGCCAAAATAAAACAGATATTTGAAACTCTTTCTCCAAACGTACTTCAATCCTAGTCCCAGTAATTAAAAGATATTCTGCTCTCAGAAAGGAAAACAGACAAAAGCGGTGGGAAGTAAGCAAAGGTGATGGAAGTTTATTTTCAAACAGGAACTGGTATGCCTTAACTTCTCATGATTAGATGGAGTTTGTTTTAGGGAATAATCTGACTTACTCCCATTCACTTGTAACTTGAGTCCAGTGTTACCCTCTCATTGAGTTTCTTACACAGTCGCTATCCTTACGTTGACAACTTTTCCGGTAATTATACACAACTTGTACTTCTCACCACCTTCAGCCATCAGAATTTTACCAAAGGAACCAGAGTGTCTTAGTCTCCAGGCCTCTGATTTCAGAAGAATTTAGATAAACAAGTATTTGAAAGGTTTTTGAAAAACTGGAAATATCTCTACCATGAATTTTTTTTAAATTTATGATAGTGCTTCTTTGTCTTTGCAGGTTATGAAACAGTAAGTGATAGAAACAGTAATAATCCTGCCAAACCCACGAATGTTCATTCCTCCTGAACTAATGTTTTCAGAGCAGTTGTTGCCTACATTCCTTCTGCAGCAGCGACTTGTTACTTTCCTCCAGTAACAGCTGCTCTCCCAGGTGTTCTGTACAGACAGATTCCATTCCTGGTATGCCACAGTAATATGCACACAGGAATGGGATCTGTATATGCAAATACTTAAGGAAGTGCTAATTTTTTTCTTCTCTTTTCCCCCCCTATTATATAATACAACTTCAAATGAGGGAAAAGGAAGTTGTGTGTGGGTACAAATATGGTCAAAGTTAAAATAGAGAACCTTGAAATGACAATACAGTTCCTTCCAAACCTAACCATTCCACGAGTCAATGAATCCACCTTAACCTTACACTTCCTCCTCTCTAGTTGACCTACAATGAATAAAGAATCTGTTATGAAAGAGACAATTATAATCTGCTTCTGTCTCTTTCCTACTAATTTAAATGCCTCCAAAACATATTCTTCATCCATTAAATAATTCCTAAAGCAGTATTAAACTATCTTGCACAAGCCAGACTTAGAACTGTGCCTCCTGTTTCCTTCACATAAAGGAAAACAGTCTTTTCTATGAAAGGAACACAGTTCACCATTTTGGGTGATCTGAAGGAGATTTTAGTCTTTCAATCACATTATTGTTTTCTTAAGACTGTAGAAGCACAATAAATTATCCTGCTGAACAGAGGACTCTTTCTAGACCTTGGGGTTCTCCTGATAATCATATAGGCTTTTCCCAGCCCTTGAATTGGGAATGCTGAAACCAGGATCTCCACAGAATTCATTCTGAATGGAAGCAACTCTGAGAATACTTGCAGAAATAACCTAACTAGACTGGTTTTGGCAGGAGTGTTGGAAAAATTCTGTGGTTTCACTATGGAAACACTAAAGTGAAAACTGGCAGTTACACCAACTTTCGTACTGACAACATCCCAAAGAACAGCTATAAACCATTCCACATTACAGTCACGCAACTTACGCTCACTTTAAGAAAAAAAACTTTCTGTTCCAATAATTTTTTGTGACTCTTAAGTAAAGAAACGTTTTAACAGTCACGTAGCAAAACCCGAACGTCCTAAAGTTAGATGAAGGGATTACAATAGTAAAAACACGTTACATATCCTGGCAAATCTGATTTTGCCAGATTTTATTCAAAGAGAAAACACTAAAAAATGCACAAATCCTTGGTAAAGCAAACAGGTTTCCAGAAACAACCACAGAAAATACCTGTGGAGTGAGATTGTGAAGAACCAGCCAGTAGCTAGGACGAACTGAGCCACCATCACTCCAAGTAGATGCTGCAAATTATAAGACAGAGCAATCAAGACAGATTTGATACAAAGAAAAACCATCTTTCTTTACAGTTAGGTCTTTCAGTCTCATAAAAATTCAGCATTATCAGCCCTGTTAACACATGAAAGCCCAATCTTCAGTCCTGAAAACAAAACTACACCGTTCCTCACATCTGACATCGATTCATTTTGCTAGAGTTACTTTGAGGAGCTTCCCATCCACAGCAAATATCCAGTCTTGAAAGACCCCATGTATTCTCTCCTAGCAGCTCTCAGCTCTCTTCACTCACTCCCTGCAGCAGGACCTGAGATTCTACCTCCCACCCATCCCAGTTACTGAGAGTAATTTTCATTTCAAGAAGGAACTTTCTTCCTTTTATCAGACAACTGCAACTTTCTTTCCTCCAAATCATTAGTGCTGTGAAACATACACTCCTCAGGTCTGATTAATGGTGCTGATCAATTGATTCTTCTCACCAGAGCCAAGCCTTGAGTCCTGTGCCCCCCAGCCCCTGACCGATCGGGGTGCTGTGCTGTTCCATGGAGATGATGGTTTGGGGTTGGTCAGGCCAGGAGGTGGGCGGGGCAGCCCTGTAGTGTTCCTTGAGGAAATATGGTTTTTCCACATCTTGTTGGAGAGATGAGTGGGATTGTGTCCTATGGGATCTGGGGACCATGTTGATTTGTAATCACTGAATTTTGCTAGAAGATTAAAGAAATTGTATGTATTAGAGAAACTTCTGAGATTAAATAACTGTCCTATCACAGTAAACCTTTTGACCACATCTGTATTGGAGACAAGCATGAAGCACAGAACCATACAGCAAGTAATTTACCATACCGAAAAACCACATGCTACAAGTAAGTCAATCTTTGATTATTTTATATAACCTGGCAAAAAGAAATTAATATACCTAGATACATATGATAATGCAGAAGACTGCAGTATGTTCCATCACTAATAAGATGAACAGCAACCTTTATATCCACACAACATTTCACCTGAGAACCTGAGAATTTCTTACAAAATTGGGCAATACTGACCTTTAATGAAACTGAACCCTCTTCAGGTACAAATCCTACAGAGAACTAAAATGAATATTTACCATTCTTGGCCTGCTAAGACCTGGTGGAGGTGTCATTTTGTCCTAAAGATCAAAGCTTTCTTGTGAATCACAGATCTCACACAATGTTGACAGTAGTTACAACAGTAACACATAAAGGTGGCCATTTAGCTGCGTGACAGCTGGACTAGCCCATTTCTTTTACTAGAAACATTACTAGAGGACTGTTAGAAGACCAATAGTGGATATCCCTACCAGATTTCAAGAACACTTTATACAGGAGTTCAATAAAGGAGAAAAAATTAAAAGACTCTCCAAAATGTCACTATTCACCATGAATATTTGGGAGCTCTTCCTAAACCAGTTTTCTTTAGGAAGGCAGACTGCAAATTCTTCCACACCTTCTGACACCAAGTGACATTTGAAAAGCCAAAATGCCTTGAGTAATTTTTTTTTAACTTGTTCTGCAATGGGAACCAGCAAACACAAACACAGCAATTTGGAGGAAAAAGTTGTGTCAGGAATGATCTTGATCATGAATTATCTTAATCATAACATGTGATCATGTGTGTGAACATATGCATTTAACTTTATTCACTAATAAAAGGTGATAAATTACTTATTTGAAATAAAGTGTAAAAATTCAGATTTACAGTGTGCCAGAGCATCACAAAAGAATATATTTGGAAATCAAGACTGTAAAGCTTTCAGAAATAGAAGTGTGTTTCAATTTACAGCTGAATCACTATATTTCCATGACATAGTAACAGTCAGTAGCAAGCAGGTTTCGAGCACTAACCCATGACAGTACATGGAAGTGCTTAAAAACCTGCTTTCACTAGGCTTTGTTTTAGAGATAGGTGAATTCTAAATCCTCGGTTCAGATGACCTGCTTTCTGACTGTGCGTAGTTTAACAGGACGGAACAGAAGATGGTATGTGGTAGTGGTCCAGTTTTCTCAATTCAGTTTTTACTTCAGTAATTTTTTTATCTCTTGGGTCTTTCTTACGTGCTAGACAAAATTTTAAGCAAAGGCAAGAAGCTGACACATGCCACTCCTTTGCCCAGGTTATGAAAGAGAAATCTTTTATGCCACTGGAATGCTGCATACACAAACAGTGCTTCACACCAAAGTCAGCACACAAACTGGCAGAAGGAGCAGAGTTTTTCTTGAGGGCTAAAGAGTATTTTCAACACATTTAGTGAAGATGCTGAGGTTACATTTGAACACAGCTTTTATTCAGTAAGATGAAAGAAACAAAGTTATGGGCCAGATGAAGCGCTCAGCTCTGCTTGCAACCTCTGCTATTTACACCCAGTTCTTAATTTTTAAGTAGTTGTCAAGACAATGCCATCTTATTTGATTTGTTTTGTTTTTTGGTTTTGGTTTTTTTTTTTTTTTTGCATCTGCCGCTTACTGTTACCCTATTTTTTAACTTGCAAGATGTGCTGACTTTGGCTGGAGTAGAGTAAATTTTCTTCATATGAGCTGGTATGGGGCTGTGTTTTGGATTTGAGCTGGAAACAGTGTTGATAATACAGACAGTTTAGTTACTGCTGAGCAGTGTTCACACAGCATCAAGGTCTTTTCTGTTTCTCACATTCCCCCCCAGCAGCAAGAAGGATGAGGGTACAAAAGAAGTTGGGAGAGTACACAGCTGGGAGAGCTGACCCCAAGTGTCCAAAGGGATATTCCATACCATATGGAGTCATGTTCAGCATATAAAGCTGGGGGAAGAAAGAAGGGGGATATGTTTGGAGTTTTGGTGTCTGTCTTCCCAAATCACTGTTAGACCTGATGGACTAAGTATTCCAAGTGGAACAATAATGAATGAGTAATCAGAAAATGGTTTGTGTGGGTAAGTTCTGGAGCCTGCATACCTGAAGTGCTATGAACGTTGGTGAAGGAATTGTCAGAGGCACTGTAGGGCCAGGCACCAGGTGAAGGCAGCGAGGTGTTGAGGGAAGAATTAGACCCTATCAAAGAGAAAAGGAGAGAGTAGGCCAATTTCAAGGATATTCTGGTAATACCATTAAACCTCAAGAGAGCCACGACAGTACCAATGCCAAGCTTTTACATGACACGCAGTGATGGCACAAAGGCACCCCCTTCTGAGTCAAATGCAACAGACCGTTTGTCTGCCATGACCAGAACATCGGAATCATCTGGAGTATCAGGGTGACTCAGATAATCACATAATAAGTTGTTCACTGTTTTACCTGTGGTGTTGTCCCGCAGAAGTTGGTGGTCAGTATCTACAATGGGAGATGTGGCTGTCCCCCCCAGCACACTTCCAGGGGTCACATAGGGGTCAGATTCAGGGTCAATGTTTTGTATACCTTTCCATGGCACTCCTGGTTGGAACTCTGGGATAGGAGGGAAAAAGGAATTAGATGCAATCAGAGAAATGTCCTTTTACTAGAAGTAATTGTTGAAGATATTTTAGGAGGGTAAACAATTGTCTTCTACGCTGTTCCTCAGGAAAAAAAGATTACTACTTTTTTGTATTAAGATCTACTTCACATTTCTTCCCACAGCACTAGCTCTAGTGTCTGAATACAAGTCTATCTATACTACACACAAAAAATTGGCGCAAGTGTATCCAGTAGCCCTTTAACTACTACTGCTTTACTACGTTTAGATGAGGTTTCAAAAGTTTTAATACATCATATATAAGATCAGATTATATATTATAAGATTAGATTCCGCACACATATTTTGTGTGTGTGCAGAAGCCTTTCCCAAGGAAAGGCTACCTACCTTAAGAGTTTGTAAACACATTTGACACTTCACACTGTAGGTACACACACACACTTTATACATTACCTCTCAACACGGAGGTAATGCTAAAGTGAGATGCCTTGTGGAAAAGCAATGTATATATTCAATCAACATTTTTCATGCTTCACAATGAGATGGGATATGTTTATCATGCTTTAGTTTCAACTATAGCTCCAGGCATGCCAGAATTTTAAGACAAGAGGATGAATTATATTAAATATGAACATACAAAAACTCCAGTTACTGTAAGAAAGATCAGTAACCTGGTTCCTTCAGTGAATAAAGTGCTGTGGTCAACTTTGGAAGCAGTGGTAAGAAAGTAAAACTGCCAAACATGAAAACAAGTAAAGAAGCTTCATATACTATGTGACAATTTGGGTAAGCACGAGAAGAGTGCCAAGGTGGCAGATTCATCCCTTGCAGATACAAGTCCAGGATATGGAATGGTACCTTTATTCCCAACCTGAAGTTTTGAAATAATTACTGTTAGTTTACTTGAGTGTAATTAAAAAATCCATTATTAAAAGTGGCATCCAGACTGTGCTGTCTAGAATGAAACCATGTAGGATTAATCTGGCATGGAAGGGTTCGTTTCAGTCACCTTTTTAATGAAGAAGTATAGTCAAGACTGACTTTCACAGACAAATACAGAAGAAAATGTGATACTACGGGTTCAAACAATTGACAGCAGGGACAATGTTAGACTGTGATAATGCACTGGCAGAAGAATCTCAGAGAAGACATAAGAAATGCCCTACTGGGTCAGAACTGTGGTCCATCCAGTCCAGTATTTTGCTAACAGTAGTAGGAGAGATACCATTTAGGGACAGAACACAAACCTGGCCACTATCTGAAGACTACTGCCCTCACACTCTCCCAGTACCCACAATCCTCCTATTTAGGATGGTAGAACTATCAAATGTTTTTCCATCATTTTATCCAATCACTATTTCACCTGGCTAGTACCATCTGTCCCAAGAAGCTCTAAAAGCAATACAATCCAGAAGTTCACCACTCCTGACAGAAAAAAAAAAATTTCTCACCTATTTAAAATTTATATCCTCTGAAGTACAGCATTTACCATGGTCCTACCATCACAGGATTCACAGAATTACAATTCTGCATTTATCTCGTTCACTGACTTCATGATTTTGTAAACATCAGTTACATCTCCCAATCTTTAGCAATTTAACAAAATCCAGGAGGACCAGGTATCCATGCCTCTAATACTATGAGCAATCAGCACTGCATCAAGGAAGCAATCTGCTCAGCTACTGCCAAACTACTGCAATCCCCTGACAAACAGGACCACCATATGCTTAAGGAAGAAGCAATGCAGCTCTTGGGTCTAGTCAAAATATCTTCTCTGTTCTGTGACAAAAATCCATGAACACAGGTTAGAACCTCGAAATCAGAACTTGCTTAAAAAAGAAAAAAAAATTCCACGTCTTGTATTTGTAAAGATTTCTGCAGAATTGGTGAGACTGAAAATTAAATGCATAGTAAGCTCTAATCAAAAGGTTAATAAATATACAAACAAGGCTCCAAGGATCAGGCATATTATTGCTTATGAACACATTCACTCATCAAAATAACCCTGGTCTGGAGAAGAGTTTTCCTTGAACTTTGGCATACTGACAAATTTCCAGACTGTCCTTTAGGGCTGACAGTTATTCTCATGCACATTCACCAACTCTGTCTGCAGACATGCTGTTTTATTTCCAGACAGTAAAGAAAATATGAAATGCATTTCTCCACTGATATTTGAAAGGTTCTTCAAACATAAGATTATTGTGAGAACCATGTCAGACACATCCAAGCCAGTTTGCCTGGAGCGTATGACTGAATGGATCCTGAATGGGACAGTTACAGTCTAGTATTACCTAGGTATGCAAGTCTGTGCGACATAACCGAAAGACATAGTTCTCACCAATGCAGCAAAACTTGCTTTCACCTCCAGCTGTGATATCATTTTGATTGGGCACCACTTCATTTATCTTTGTGTTGAACAATACTGTTCTCTTGAACGGCAGAATTTCTGCAGCAGATGGCATTTAGGAGGAAAACGCGAAAGGTGTTGTCAGGGTGAAAGCTGAGTTACCACTGTATTCATTCAAAGGAAAAATGCACCTATTTCAAGAGGTTTTCTCTTGTAAACTCATTTTTGTTAACAACTTATTTTCCAACACTGGGAGGAAAAATTCTGTCTCCATGCCAGGGACTGACAGTGGGCCTCATCTACAAGCTTGTCAAGAAGAAGAACCTAGAGTGTAAAGTCATTTTAGGTCTTCATTCTTCATCAAGGGTGTTGATAAGGTAGATCATGTTGTCAGCTAAGTTTTCCTGGTCAAGGAAGCCCATAAGGTAGACTGACTATGAGACAGCTCAACTGGTTGACAGTTACACAACAGTAACTTGTCCCAGTCTATTGACCTCCTAAGAGTGGGATGGCAATATAGGAATAATTGCACAAATGCTTTATGCCAAAACCCAGAATCTGTTACGTGAAACCTGCAATCATAGTCTTGGGCTACTCATTTGCACAAGAAATTAGGGACTGTACTGATGATCTCAGTAAAAGTTAATGTTCAGGATTTGTGAACTTCACTTATCCCCTCAGAATCATGAGGCACTCAGCAACAAAAAATCGTACTATCAATGACAGTGGGACTGCAGGTATCACTAAAGAAGCTCTATGATATGCCAACGAGGGGAAAAGAGTAGCCATCCAACTTCTGTTAACCTCTGTTAACAGCCTTTCGGTACCAAGAATCCTGTTGAAGCTTGGAAACACAGCAGAGCTGATCCTCACATGTCTTGTAACAGTCCAAGCAGTACTGTGTTTCTCATTATCACACAAGGGAATGGTGACTAAAGAAACAAGCTCAGCAATGAGTCTGTGAGAGAGGTCTTGTAAAAGATTAAATTTTGGGAGTTTCTGGCATTATAAACAGTAACTCCAGTTCAAGAAGCTCCGTACTTAACAACCAGGCTGACAGAAATGTAACACAAATACACCTGTACAGAAGGCAGTGAACAGCGTGAAAAATTGTGGGTGTGCAGATGTTTTTGAGATAACTAATTCTGTAACTGTCAGCTCATCACAAAACAGTGTCTAATTCTGGCAAGAAAACGAGGAGTTCCCACATAAAAGGCCTTAACGACTTTTTCTAGGTTTCCTGCAGTGTATCTGTCACACAGATTCTTAGGCTTTCTGATGCAAGGTCTGTGCTACTGGTTTACCCGAGAGATGTACCTGGATTTTGCTTTTTTGTGCTTGAGGGGACACACAGCAGAGGGTTTGCAGTTAGTAATGTTTTCCTGGAATGTGTCTTCCAGACAAGAAAAAAAATCACGGAATTCAGTATTTCCTGAACAGCACCAGTGACTAATCTGTGCAACTTCCAGGACACCACTCTGTTTAAATGAATGTTCTATACAGAAAATTATGTGCCTATTCAAATTCATATGTATTTTTCCTAGATACTTGCGATTTCTAACAGAAACATAAAATTTTGCCAGTGAAACTAGAAAACTTAAAAAGTGTGCTATGGCCTGCGATCCCAAAAGCAAAAAACTTCTACCCAGTCCACAGGATTGCTGAGCATTACAATGTTCTTCTACCCTTTATGCAACCCATGAGCTAAGGTCAACTGCAAAAGTGTGGCACACACCCCATATACATAGTGTACTAGTAATTCTGGCAGTCCACCATGGACTAGATTTGTAAACTGTTGCCAGAAGAAGAGTTCATGCTACACAAAAAAACAGAAGTTCAAGAAAATCCTGTTCCATCACCAAACAAACTTCACTTTCCCCTTTTTAGCTTTCTGATTCCATGCTACCTATCAGAATTTTTGCATCCCATGTCAGCCTAACACCACAAAAATAAGGAATCAGTACGAGAGGAGGGAGTTGATGTTGTGCATTCTATGAACACGTGTTTTCACAAAAATTTCTGTATATGCTAAGTCACTAAACTACAGAACATAGGAGCTGATCTAACAAAAACCAAACACTATTCAGCAAATTCAGCAGTTAGTTCATATTTAGCACTGACATTTTTTTCTGGAAATTCAACATCTGTGTTCCAATTTAATGTGGAAGAAATTCACAAAACAAGATGGGCCAAGCTGAGCAACTATTTTCTTTGCAATGGTTATTTAAGTATGATGAGGGAAGGTCCCAGCACATTCACTCTAAAGTTAGGACATAACCCCATATAATACCTGGAGGCCAGCTGGCATTGCTGGATTTACTTCCGATCTTGTTCGTTGGTGGAGATTTGGCAGGTAACCAACTATCACCAGCAGGGCCTGCATGGCCGCCGAGTGGGTCGCCCTGAATTATGTCAAACTGGTTGTAGGGCGATCCTCCACGAGCCTTTCCGGGGGGCACTATTGCACCTGAAGCATTAAAAACATGTATTTACACTCAGGAAAGGTTGGGATCTTTAGGAGTATGGTAATCTAAAGCAAAAAATACTTAAGATGCATGTTGGTAAGGAGGGACAGTTTCACCCAAGCTATTTCACCTCTCGCAACATGATACTACAAGGGTTTTCCCAAAATTGCCAGTCCCCTTTCTCACCATTTTTGTGCATATTGGCATCTTGTGAAGCCACAGAGGGCAGCCCTTCCATCATAGTCCACTGCTTAAAGCGGGATTCTGTTCCAGCCTCTTTCCCTCCCACCATGCCATAATCCATGCCACTTGAGCCAAAGCCTGTGAAATAAACAAACAAAACTCCATTGTCATTTGCTGCTTTAAGTAACTTCAAACAGGGAGTCATCGTGATCATAAGAAAGGTAAAAAAACCAACAACAGCAAGGGGTATATGTTTGAGGGGCATCTTCCAAGTAAGTGGGTTAGGTCAGTATGCTAAGATAGGCTTTCTTCTTAGGTTTGTCTTCTTCCCACATAATGAAAAATAATGCAATTTGATTCAAAGTTGACACTTGTCATAACCTTCGCTCTAATGCTTATGCATAAATTACTTATTTCTGGATCCAGACATAACTGACTTAACACAATTACCATATTAATATGATAAGTACAGGCAACACACAGAGCACTTACCTGAACCGTATCCAGGTATTTGCCCTTTGGTCTGTAAATCTGAGAGACCCACATTCAAAGGATTGGGTACCATGCTGTCTAAATGTGGCTTAGGCCCAACAGGGTGGGATGGTGAATGCTTCATGCCAGGCTGCCTCTGCTGCTGCTGTTGCTGCTGGAGGGCACTCACCATACGAGCAAGCTGTAAATGGAAGAAAAAACACGGAGTTCACATATGCTATACTGTAACACAGAATTCCAGTAAACATAAAAAACCAGTGACTTAGAGGAGGTCTGAAAGACCCTGCTCTCTGGAAAGTGCAGTATGAAGACTGCAGATGACATTACTAAATCCAGCACTGTCTTTCTTCACTGAAGAGTGCATTTTCCCAGTGCACTTTATACTCTGTACAATGGACAAAACCAGTGCCACACCTGTTGCTCCTGCTGCTGTCGCACAGCTTGAGATAACTTTCTCTGGCTCTGTAACAGCTGTTGCTGCTGCTGCTGCTGAAGGAGGAGTTGACATGCCTACAAGATAAGAAGGGGGTGGAAAGAGTGAAAATATAGAGCTCATCAAGGGAAATGTACTTGCCAGGAGCTATTCACTACAAAATGCCTTGCTCAGAACTTAGGTAAACTGTTTCTCATTCCACTCACTCAAATAAAATGACAATGAACGCTTAGAAGAATACTATATCCTTCACCTGTTTCTCATTAAACATCATGCAACAGAATTACTAGTACCAGCTTTGTTACTATCACTCTGACTACAAAGATGAAGAAAACTTCATTAAAAATTAACAAACAACTGCCTTCTGTACAAAGACATTGCTTAGAATCGTTACTAACCCTCTGCAACATCCTCAATCATTACACAGGTCTGTTTGGTTTATCTGCTGCCCTCTAGCAGGGCTTCATTATCCCATACAGCAGACAGGGAATACTTGTACAAAAATAACTCAACATCAGTAGAACAAAACAGAACAGACAAAAATAAAATCTTTTCGGCAGAAAATCTGTAAACAGTCTTGTCTCACAAGATTACTAGTTACTTACTAATTGAAACTGGGGAATCTGTGGAAGCTGGCTCAGCATGGCAATCTGTTGTGGAGAAAGCTGGGGGCCCATATTGAAAAGACCAGGATTCAAGCCACTGTTGGGAAACTGTTTGAGCATGGAGGCCGAAACCTGCATTGGAAACCAGTTACATATCCTGAAGAAATGCACTGCTATGAGAAAAGATGATGAACTATTTCTATAAAGGAACAAGTATGACACCAATCTTCAATGATGTTCTGGGAAAGACATTACAGATTTATTAACACATCACATTTAAACATGCACAGTCTATGACTTGGGCAGAGTGAATACCTCACTTGATTGACAATATACAGTATTACATGTGCAGATGCAGACACACACACAAAGGTTCCTCCCCCAACCAATCAGATGCTAGAGACTGCACTAAATTAAAATGCTGATATATATGCAGCTAACTAGTAATCACAGTACTGCATTGTCACATTAAAAATGTACTGCTTGACAAGGGAAAAGAAAGGCATTCAGGCAGTCCCTGGAGCAAAGAAACAGTGCCTCACAGGAAGAGTTAATCTCTTTGTACACTGAATAAGCTATAGTAAAAGACAGGAGTAGGTGAAGAAGATTCCCACCATTTCTCCCTGCATTATTTGAGAGTTACACAAGTAGAATTTAACAGAATCTCAAGAAGTGTTCACCAAGTCCAAAACAAAAGGTAAAATTGTACATTTGGAGACCCTGAGGTCTTAAGACTAAGGTCTGAAATGTAAATGCAACATGTAGCCCTTCATCAAACCTCTTCTTTGTGGGGGACAGGAAGCACAGGACAAGACTGCTTAAAAAATTAAGCAACCTGTCACACTTAAGAAAAACTTTAAGCTTTCACGTTTTTTGTGGGTTTTTTTCAAATTTTTGTTTTGTTTTGTTTTTGTTTTGTTTTGTTTTTTTTCTTTGGAAAAGATTTTGCAAAAGCCTCTGTAAGACATAGAATTCCCAAATCCACTTTGAGGTTTAAAAATACTGGTAAGCGAGCATTTACCATTAACTGCCTTGGAATAAGAAAGAATGCTAATCCTTTGGCATTGAGTTTTCAGTATTTTCAACTATGAGTTTTAATTTTTTATCTTATCTAATTTTTCCATTTCTTAACATCAAGTCAAGACTAAGATAGCTCCATAAGTAACCTCAGTGATGTGCTCTGAAGGTTGTAGCTCTACTTTTACAAGTAATCAGTTGCTATAAATTCCTTACCTGGGGAGAAAGGAATTGGGGAGGCACTTGCGCCCGGATATTGGGGGAAGGATTTAGTGGCTGCACTGGTGTGTGCATGCCCCTCGATTGTGCTGTGCTGTTTCCAAACAAACCATGATTGCCACCCTACAAAATTAAAGCAGTAATGAGAAGATGAATCTTTGAGGATAATGGACTTCTACGCTAGTAGCTACACATCAATAACAATGAGGCAAGTACTGACTTAAACAGAATTCCCTTAGAATTACAGAGATGTTTGCTTTCAATCAGTAATATTCTGCCTGGGTTAAAACTTTTGTACTGTATTTCTGAGACGCAGCTTCTTTCTTCTCTAACACTGAAGGGTCATGTTTATCTGCTTATTTCAAAGCACACAACAACACTAATTTTTTAATATTTTGCCCTTTACATGTTGGGAAATGGAAACTTGGAGTACAAACAATACACTCAAAAAACCCCATTCCACTGGCTTGAAAGTACGGCAAGACTTATTAACTGCATCAAGAATTCTGGGCCAGCATTTTAGAGAAGACAGGTACTTTTTTTGAGTAGGGTTGTTAAGATACCACTCATGAGGCTATTATTTCCTCTGCAGGCATTTCATTAACTGAAATTTGAATTCTAAAATTTTATTATACATTTTCCCTCTCCTGTGAAAATTCTGGACTGGGGAATTTTTCTTTTCCTTTTGCCCCCCAATAAATTGGAAGAAAATTTTCAAGTGAGAAAAAAAAAATTGTGTGTTTTTTTTTTTTCCAGTGATTTATTTTCTAATACTAAAATACTTGCTGTTTGAGTTATTTTAATGAGAAGTATTTACTGTTTTATAAGCAACTCATGTGATAAAACCTACTGTATGAAAAAGACCAAAGAAAATTCAGTATGTTTCTTAATTTCAGCCTCTGAGTAGACTGTCTTTTCTTGTAACATCTTTCCAAAAGAGAGACAAGAAATGTTATGAACAGTCTCCTACACTAACAGTCACACTCTTGCTTCTGAAAGTTGAAGCTCATATTCCAAAGCACCCTTATGTGTCATGATTTTGTCTTTCAGTTTCAAGACCCTCTGAACTTCCCATCTCCTGAAGTATATCAGGATGTCTGTGATCCTCACATACCTGGGGTTCTAAAGAGCACATTTTCCACTCCTCAGCCATCATTCCCTGTTCTCCCTCTGCATGCCAGCAAACTTGAGCTGTACCACTGCTGTATCCAACAAATCCATCATTCTTCCAAACAGACTGTGCAGGCCTCCACCAAAACCTTTCCTTCACTTATATACCAGGATTTCATAAACTCTGCCTTCCTCTGCCTTCCATAACACTGCACATCCTCTGCTATTCTTTTGCTCAAACAGAAGTCTCTCATTCTGCTTCTATACTGGCAGCACTATGGATTGCCTCATTCACCTGCATCACCCTCCACTTAATGTGTCTTCTCCTTCAGAATTCACTCAAGATGTCACGCTAAGCACACAGGAGGATAAACAGAACACCCAAGAGATGAGAGTTTTTATTCTGGCTGGGGTCAACTACACATGAAAATTTTTGAGAAATCTTGAAGCTGCAGTTACACTTTCAGCCCTCTTCATAACTCTGCACAGAGTTCTGCACGCTGAGACCAAGAACATGCCTGCGAATTTTGGACTTAACCTGATGTTCAACACTGCATCACATAGAAACAGAAAGACAACACAAAGAAACACCATCATGTTAGGCATGTGACTACATAAGCTAGACCACTTGCAATAATTAGATACTATTCTTTCATTTCCTGGTATTCCTGTAACATTTTCTTCTAGCATAATGTAAAACATAATAGCCAGAAATCCTTCCAAACTGCAGTTAGTCACTTCATTCCTTCCGCACCATTCCTCTGTACACAGAACAAAAATACTGCTACCTCAAGAGTTTTTAAAGGCTATTAAATCATTCCTTAGTTTGGGCTGTGGGGAAGGGAGAAGGGAACAGGTACAATGCTAAAACCACTGCAAATTTTTACAGGGCCATTTCTACATACAAGGTCATTGGGTGGAGTCTGGAAAAATTCAGTATGGGGGGTGATGGGGCAAATCAACAGCCTCCAACTGGATTTTAAACCAGCAATTAAAATAAAGGATGCCACTAACTTCATGACTTCTGAAAAGCACATCAACCTGCTGTTGCACTGTTATTCAGGAAGTAAGAGGCCAACAAAACCAGGTAGGATACGTTTTGATGTTAGAAACCAAAGTGGACTGATTCTCAATGGCCTGATACAGCTCAGATTTCCATTAACAATATATATTTATTTAGCAGAAAAACAAATGCAAGCAACCAACTAACCAGGATTAAGCCCAGGTTGCAGCCTTATAACAATGCATCTTATAAGGTGGCCTGCTTACTTGTCTAGCAGCGAAGTTTTGGGGACTGAGCCCTGAGCCGATTGCCCCAAGGCCGACGTTGGATAGTGTGGAACCAGAGGGAGACAGCTTGTAGCTGGGAGAAGGGGAGAAGGGAGAGCAGGGAGCCTCATCCCCAAGGCACCCATCTTGATTGGAGAAAGGCAAAGTCAGCTGAAGCAGCAGTTAGCCAACAGCAGGAGTTGGTTAGTGAAGCAACAGAATGTAAGAGGAGAGAAAGAGGGACGGTGAGTGACTAGGAAGAAGCAAAATTACTTTGTAATAGAAGCTACAAGGACAAAACTTCTGACTCAAATGACCACTTGACAATTACCATTCTGGTCCAAGGAGATAATCAATAAATTCCTAAAGGTTTCTTTTTACAAACACATTTTGAACTCTCGTGAAATTGATTTCGGATAGTGGCTATTACTGCTATAGAAACAAACAAATCTTGAATGAATTCCTAATATTAGCACACACCTACAGACATAATTTGTTAGGAAACACATTAGCTCTGCTAGTGCTATTTATTAATTAGGCCACCAGAGGGAGTTGACAAAACTGCTTTTTGGCCTGTTATACCAAAATGGAGGAGTTAAAAAATTCCTTGACAGTTAACACGCCTTCAGAATTTTTAAACCAAATTTCTTTTCCATTTCACATGTGATAAGCTGTATTTAAAAAAAAAAAACCAAACCCTAGAGCATTCTGAATCTATTGGACACTCTCCAATTCATAATGTGAAGCAATTAATATTTGATAACAACGGTGAAAGCTTCTGTTTAAAATCGGCAAGAATATGAAAGAAATGCTACCATAACATACAACAGATGTCACAGAGAAACAGATGTCATACAGAAGCTTACAGTACACGGACATACAGCATAAGGTGTTGTGGAATTTAGAAAGGGTGTTTCCAATAAAGGTCAGACATGAAAGAAGAAAAATATCTGGAACACTGTGATTACTTATATTTACTTAGAGCTAAAAAGGTAATTTCTTTCTGTCTACATCAATAGCAGTCTATTCTAGAATAAAAAGCCTCGTTCTCCCCAATTTAGTTTGTCTATGCACACCTGACACCTGTTTTATACACACATTCATTCTACAAACATAACTCCCCCACACCTTTTATTAATGAGTTCATACAAGGTTCTCAAACTTTTAGTACTTTCAGAGAAGTAGGGTAAAAACTGGTAGGGTAAAACTTGAACATGAAGGTTGACATTGATTCATCCAAAGATATTTCTCTCACCTTCTCAAAATAAGGCCCACTATCTGTGGTTCCCATGTCTTTGGAATTAGGTGGACGGAACCCAGATCGATCCTTCCTCATCATGTCATTAAAATCCCCGAGATTCATGGTTCGTTTATCTACCTCAAACTTCTTATCTGGGAGACCACCTGTAAGAAAAGATGAAATTAGTGCAAATAATCTCTACTATGTTTCATGACAGCAGGTTCACAGCCAAAGAGACTACCTTTAAGATGAGGGTTTAAATTATATCTGTCTCATAATTTAGTACAGCTACAGTTGTTATTAAAAGTGTTGAAAAATTAATGTAGGAAGTTTCACTTTTAAGACTGAACAAGTCGATTCACTTTAGAGTTTAATGTGAAGTATTTCTCACAATTTATGTACAGATATAAACATATGCATTTCAAGTAATTATATTAATTTATACATAGTTCTTCAACTCTTCTAAAACTTGCACTGTTATTCATTGGTATTCAGTATCTAGAAAGACAGTACTATTTAAGTTCTCCACGTAATTTACTTAAGACTTTACTGGGTCCAACATTGAGAAATTCCTTGAGATTCTTTGAGAAAATTTGGTCACATGCACATAATTAGATCAAAACTCTCCTACTGTCATGTGAACTTAATGCTTGAACACAAGAAATCAACCGGTATGTCCTAACTTCCAGACAGACAACCAATCTTCCTCAGTCTGTACTCAATGATAACAGAAGTAGTAACAGTGACACTTCTCAAACGCCCCCTAAAGTCTGACATTGTTTAGTGAGTAATCTGATGGAGCATGAGGAAGAGGTGTCAGTAAGAGATGATCAAACTGTAGCATACACAGTGAACAGGAGATCAACTTTCTCTCTAAGTTTATCATAAGCAAGTGCTGACTGAAGGAAGTTTTCTACCTTATACACTGAACTGCTGCCAAGGAACAATTGTTTTTGGTCGTGTGTGGCACCTGTAAGGTATCGATGCATATTGTTATGCTGAAGTAGATGGAAAACATCTTCATTTTAAAATATGGACACGACAGAATTGAGCTTTAAGGGTATTTTTAGTTTTAACGAATATGGTTTAGTTAGTAGCACAGATGGTTTTTCCAAGAACAGTTTAAAAAACATGTCACCACAATTAACAAGCAAATCTATGACTTTTCCAATGGAAGTTGATGATATCCTACCCTATCACTGACAAAACACTAATAAGCTTTTATCAAACAGATCAGAGAGCTAATCACTCTAATACCTTCAAAACACTGATCCTTGAAAAAGCTTCTCAAATCCAGCATCCCTTCTTAATGTCCAATCACTATCTATTAAGATTCATAGTTATGCTACTGCCAAAAAGCTAAGAAACTGACTACTAATTACATGGGGTTTTCCTACTGGCTCAGCTTCCAAAGTTCATCAGCTTCATCCTCTCATTCACCTTCAACATGATATATTACAAAATTAGTTGACATATCACCTACATATTTTGGCTTGTAACTGGAGTCATACTGACCCGGATGAGTTCGTGATTCCATGATCCCTTTCTAACACACCCTAAAAAGCCAGAACTGGCTCTGCCAAAGCAGTCACACACTGCCATGCACAGCTCAATGCTGTCAGTGCCTACATCAAACCACCACACACAATACCAGCCACGTACCACCAAAAGGCTCACGTGCTTTAACTCCACACCAGAAGCCCTGTCCCTTAGTTGCTTGAAAAGAAACTGAAACTGATGAGACAGAGTTGCATCACTATCTGAAATGAAACTGGGTCAATGCCAACACAAGATGACTAAGCCACACAAACACCCTTCTGTGTCTCCAGTTATCCTGATGATCCAATCAACTCCTCAAACATTACTGAATGATGCCTCGTTCACAGAGCATTAAAGAGCACCTTTAAAGTCTTCAAGCACAGGTATGCATGTCACTTAGTGCTGAGGCAGCTGCTTAAACTTCAGTATAAACAGGGCCTTGCTAAGAGAAATGGTAGCATTCACTTATCCCATTCACAGAAAATTCTACTGCAACCTTAAAACCTGTCATGTCAGTCCGTCTTTTGCACTTGCCAGCTAAAGCTATAGATAATGCAAGTGGCTAAAGCACAGCACTATCTTAAGTACAAGACAACAATTAAAATCTGGTAAGTTTGAATTTTATGCTCTGCAGTAGGTAAAAACACTTGTGCAATTCTCTACATGCAGAAACATAGAACAGGGTAAAAATCCAATCATCTTCATAATAGAAGACTATCAGTTCTTGGATTTTTATCACTATTAAGAGTTATGAGAAACACCGTGAAAAAAGCAAAATCAAACAAGGGCCTGGAAGATGACATTCACTCCTAAGCGAGGAAAAGAACCCTATTAAGAACACGTCCCCATCACATGCACGCAGCTTAAAAGAAAATCTGAATTCCATACAAAATTATATAATATGATCCTGCACTGGAAAACAGAAGTCAGAAACTGCTGCTGAGTAAAGTTATTTACCTGAAACATTTGCCAAATAGAGACTCAACATGGTGAAAATACCTACAACCAGTGGAGTAACCCAAACAGAGAAAACTCATTTGAAATATTTTCTGCTTGACAATGAAAACAAAAACATTTTCAAGAAACTGGGTTTATACCTTTGTCTTAAATTTACATCATCCATGCCTACTGAGCAAGCACATGTACTTAGCTATCAAGGTGTTCCACCTAAATACTGCATCGATTTATGGTTTTGTAATATATTTACAACAGACAGTTTCATAAATTAAACCTGAATCAGTAGAAATTTCAAATTGATTTTCCAGTCCTTACAGGTGATTTGAGAATTCAGTGATCTGCAGAAGTTTTAAGTAATACATTAAAAAAAAAAGAGATAAAGGTGATTGTCAAATAGAGGAAAGGAAAATACAAAATATTAAGTGGTTCTGACAAGTTACTTTATTGTAGCAAGCTTCATGCCTCAGAACATACAGACCAGGAGATATCTCAATGGAAAAAAAAATGCCATATCCTATTTTAAAATCAGACAAGCTACCCATTAAAGAGATTTAATAGAAAAAAAAAGATGAAGTAGATATGCCTCAGGCATGTTATTGATCCATCTCTTTTCTGGTTTGGTCATTAAATAAAAGTATACCTCCAGCACCCTTGCAATATAAGGAGTACATTCTTCCAGCAAGGAGACTGAGACCAATGCAGCAAGAATTACTTACTGACAATACCTGACGATCAGAGCCAAAAAGTGTTCCAAGCATATCAAAGCCAAAGTTTTCTTGGACGTATGTGATCTCCAAGCACAGATTTAACTGCGCGTTTATCCATAAACCAGGAAAATATGATGCTGGCAGAAAAACCTGGTATGTTGTAACCTTGACTGAAAACCAGTTGAAGAACAAGCCTATCTCATGAGTAAGTTCAACTTTTAAAGATTAAAAGTAGAAATACGCTGAGTAAAACAGCTTAAAGTTTTCCTCAAGCAACTGCCATAAGCAACAAGAACAAAACTGCTAAGAGGAGAAGTAACAAAAAAGCCCCTTGAAGATCTGTTACATTCTCAGTCTTTGAAACAGAATACAAACTATAAAGTGGTTCTACCTTAGATCAAGGGATGCTACCCTTAATGGGCACACTAAACTTAAAGAAGTGCAACATATGAAGATAAAGGATGCAGCCTTTCTGTATCCTTTCACAGGATATTCTGAGCATCAGCCACCTTCCCAGAAGCTCTGATGGTTTTAAGGACCTTGACAACAGAAAGTTCAAAAGAATCCTTAATTTGGAAACAAAGAACTAATCATCATAATCCAGAATACCATCCTCTTCATTTGTATATTCTTAGATCTACTGTTTACTAGTAGCACCTGAAGGCAGATGAAAACTGAACATTCATGAAGACAACTGATGTCCACCTAGATGATCTTTAGAGAAGCATGATACAATCAGAGCCTGAATTCAAGAGAGGCTGTACAAGGCTTAAGTGGTGAGATCGCAAAATGCTGTTACCTCCCCCAAAACTGTGCTGTACTATATAAATACACACCTTACTGAGGTCCTTAACTATTTCAGAGGAACACAACAATTTTGGGAAAAATGAACTACTGAATCCCCTATGAAATGTGGCAGACATTTTAAGAATGTAATGGATTCTAAGTTGATCGGTACGATATCTATCTGGATTGCATGAGAATACCAAATCTGAAGATGGTATTAGATGCAGGTAAATCTTGATTACCACAGCTCTACCTTTGGTACCAATAAATATTACTGGATGTTCCCAATAAAATAAGATTTTGGTGAGAAAAATCCCGATTACAGCATCACACAGAATGTTACAACACTGGCAGATGAGGATGTGCTAAGGTTGGTGGCAAGAGGGTCAAAAGAACTTTGCCAAAGAAAGTCGTAACAAATTCAAAGGTGACTAAATGAAATTAACTGAAGTGGTCAATTCCAACTCTCATTTAGGATAGTGTTCCCCACAGAGCCCATCAGCTTAAGCTGTGTAGCATTTGCAGTGAGGCCATCAAGAGTGAAATATCTAGTTCTACTGAGCAGTGATTTGTAATAGCCTGGGGCAAGCAACTGAAGAAAGCAATGACAGAAGTTATTCTTTTTTCTCACATCATCTCCAGGAAGCTGTGGCAAATGGGATGTCCTACTGCCAAGAGCTAAAACAGTCCTCTTCCACTAAATGAAAAAGAATTTTCACTTTTTTGGAACAGTAACGATGAATACAAACTACATAGATGAAAAACAGTCTTAAAAGATGTCCCTTCCACAAGTTATAGTTCTGTTCTGGACAGGTATACATCCCAATCTTGCATATAAGAATCAGTTGTGTAACTATTCAGTGCTTAGAGACAAGAAAGAGGGTGCTTTTACTCTGTCCTATTACAAGCAGTGCTAAAAGTAAGGATCAAACCCTTCTGAAGTACAGCATGTCATCCTCATAAAAATACTACATGTGATCTCATATTTCAAATGTATTTGAATTAAAATATACGCACCTACAGACAAATCCATCTTACTGCCTGGAATGTCGTCAGTTTGACTCTGGAGAGAAAAAAGAAAAAAAATAAATAAAAATCAAACAATTCAGTTCTGACTTCTATGCAATGATGAGAAATATTTCAGAAAGGTGGAATGCAGCGAGGACATGCTTGTGCCTATGAGAGTTTTACTTTAAACTAAAACTGAACACAAGGATTCCTGATATCACCCTGGACACACCTTGCCTCAACCCTGTAAAGCTGTGTGAGGCATGTTTACCCATGACTGCAACAAAGCAAGATGGACACAGAGCTCCTCTATGAAATGAACCTCTGTCCTCATGTTCCAGTGGTCGGGTGACAAAACACTGAAAATAGTGGTCGAAATGACAGCTCATCCTCATGACCTGTCACGCCATCAAGTCTTGAGTGTGCTGCCAAGTGATTCTTCAGTTGGCAGTAGGGGACAGGGTGTTCCCATAGCTTTCAGAATCATGTACAGTCTAGCAAACTGAATTTGATCTTGGGAGCCAAAAGACATTACAAACTAATCCTAAACGTGTCAGTGACAGCTTGTGCAGCCCTAGACTTCTCACAGAACCTCTGCATTATTATCTTTCCCTAGCACCATATATTATTCCTGCTTCACAGGATGACAATTGGCACAATATTCTGCATATTTTACAAATTAGCTTGCCAGAAGTTGCTGTTTTTGAAGTACTTCTCTGCAGCTCTGTCTTTTTCTCTATGGTGTGGTTTATTTATTCAATTTCCCAAACAATCTTTACATATGGATTCCTAACAAGTCCTTTTTGTTCTAAAAAGACCCTGCTGCACAATATTTAAAATATAAGTAGTCATGACAAACATAGGGCTGAAAACCTCCTCTTCCAATAGGTGGCTGAGATTCAGAATGAGTAGCCTTGGACTAACCACAGATGTCTGACTCTACAGCCAGGACACGAGGTCTCTACCTGTAGTGCTCTGAACAGCATGCTATGAAAATTAAAATACAAAAAACACCAACCTACTACAAAACAACAACAACCACCAAACCAACCAACCAAAAAACAACCCCCCAAAAAACCCAACCAACCAAACCCAAACAAAAAACTCCAACCTCCCTGCAAAAACCCAGAAAACCGCCAACCCCCAAAACCACAAGAAACCCTTTCTTCCAGCCCTGAACCCAATACTTGCAAGGAAACTGCAACCTCAGAACAAGAGCTGTCATAAAGTAATTTAAACAATCGAAGTAGATTTTGGGTTTTTATGAGAAGCCATTCTGAGCCAGCTGTTACAGGTATTATAATCAACACATCAGCATAGAAAATGCAGATAAATAACTGTGAAACAGCTGATCTTTTGACTCATTTAAAGTTTATGCTTTTTTTTCCCCAAAGTTGGACTCTCTGTTTAACAAAATTTACTTACTAGCAAGCCCATATTTGAAAACTGTTTGGATAAAGGGTTCATCCATGAATCACTATTTCCTCCTTTCAATGCGCACTGAAAAAAAAAATAAAGACATATTTTTAAGAAGTTTCTTGATTTCTTAAATTCTGTTTTATCCTTGAGATGCACAAGTGTAAAATGAAAATCCTGCTATCAGATTAACCTCCTGAAAAAATTATTTTAGGTGTTCGTATGTTTGGAAACATTTACCAAATATTCTGCCTCATACAACTGCTCACCGTTCGGTATAAGCAAACAGGACGAGTGTTTGCCCTGCAGAAAGTTTATCATACCTTCAGTTTCATCTGGAATGCTTTGTGAATGTTGTTTATTTTTCCTCTGTTACAGTTTAATACATTCTTTAATCCACTGCACACAGAGGTAGATTTCCTCCTTGGCTTTCTTCCCTTTATAGTATGGTGCCTCTTGCAGGGGCACTGTGCTGACCAGGCTCTCTATTTAGCCTTAATGTAATTTAGGGATTATCAAAACCAAAACTAGCATAGTTCAACAGTGGAGAAGTTTTTCTGGACAGTTGCTTTGGTGGTTAAAATAAAAAAGCTTCAAGTGAGGAAAAAACTCCCTAAGAATAATTTCTGCAAAATAGGAACTGCAAAACTCCCTACTGTGTCACAACAGTATTTCCACATCCTAGGAAACTGTTCTGCCCTTGTCTTTTGAGTCTGCCCTACCTATTTGAGTTAAAGTAGACAAAGCATAGTCCTTTTAATATTCATACAGTAACAACTGTTACTGTACTAGAGAACTTTAATGCAAACAAGGCTTAGAAAAATTTACTCAGGACTACAGCCAAGCTCCTGCTCCTGTTTGAGGTCAAATGTCAATAACAACAAACACAAGACATAAATCCAACAGTTAGTAGAAATAAGAAGCCCATGTGCCAAAGGGACTGTGGAATCCAAACTTCAGCAGGCTATGCAAGAACAACAGCAGCAGCCTAACACAGAAAGATGTGTCAGCAAGAGAAGAGAAATAGCCTTGGGATACTTATTTTCATTTAGTAATGGCTCTGCAGCATACACACCAAAAAGATTGACACCTACTGGCAGATTTATTAGTCACAACAGGTGTAATACATTCAAGCAAATCCAGAAACCTCACATTTTTTTACAGTGCTGTAACAGGCATCTTTCTGTAAAACCTCTTTAAAAAAATAACTATTATAATGCTGTAACATATCAGTCAGACTGTTTTCAGACAACACAGTAGTTACGGATCATTCAAGCACTTTACCTTCATTTGTGTTTTCTTTCCTCCTTGCCCCCAGCTTGTTGAGTTGTGGGAGGAACTGCTTCCCTGAGAGCCTGCTGTGTTCCAGACTCCTCCCTCCTCCTCCTCTTCCCAGCTGGAATGACGTGTTCCTGTCACTGGCCCATCATTCTCTCCCCAGCCATCTTGCATAGATTTAGAACCTTTAGAAAAAGAAAAAAGAGTTCAAAAGCAGTCTACAATTCCATGCAGCTGGTGATGTGACACTGCAAGATCAGCTGAATCATCAGAATCCCAAAGGAATGAAAAAGAAAAGTCAAGAAAGTGTCTTCACTAACAGCTGTAAAAACTTATGCATGAATCCCAAAACCCAAGAGATTTGGTGGTGTGTTCGCATGTCATGTTTTGCAACTATTTTTAAAGAAATGTCAAACCTTCAAAGATGTAATAACACTAGAGACCTCTTATACAGACACAGCTGCATTTAAAAGGAAATCTTTTATTTTCAAGTGTAAATGAAAGCCTTCAAGTACACTTAAAAACCAACAGTGCTGAAGACTCTGGTTCAGTTGATTTATCAATTATTACGTTTCTTCTGTCAAAACCTCAATACTTCCTTTGCACTGGACTCTCTCACAAAGTAACAGAAACAAGGAACCTTTAGGAACAACAACTAATCAAAATCTGAAGGAGAGGACCTGACTCAGTTATATGTAATACCAAAAGTAGTTTAATGTCAATTAAAAAAACCCAACAAACCTGTACTTGAATTTCTGTTCTTAAAAATGTCACTAAAAGGACTTACACTGTTCAAGTATACCAGAAAGCTACAACCATTTCACTGTATCAGTTCAGGCTTTTCCCTGTTGGCTATCTTTTCTTGCTGGTACTCTCTAGTTTTGTCAAGCAATTTAGAATTCTGACCTCTACTAACAAACCAACAAGAGCCCAATTCCTCATTTTGTCCACTGTCCAACCGTTCTTCCTGCTGTAACTCTTCATTCTGCATATTTATTCTGTTAGCATTTATCTCCTTTAAAAAAGATTTCCATCATCATTATCTTTGTAATAACTCATTCTTCAATTGACTGGGGCTTGAGTGTGGAAATCAGGAATAAGAACGTTAACATATATAGCAGAAAATCTGCACGTAAAAGTCGGGAATTGTAATTATTCTATCAGGGGGATCTCTACCTTGATCACGCTGAAAATAATAAGTACAGCAGCGTTTCATGGTGGTTTTAGAGCTATCTTAAAATGCATCCTAAATACATCCCCAGATACTTCAGAGGAAACATAGCTTTTTAAAGCAGATTCATTTATGTACCAAAACTGAGGGCTGCTTATGAAAATTATTGGTCCAACTGCAAAAAATCTACCTCTTGACCTTTTAGTCATGTTACTTATACAGAAAAGGCTACATTTAAGGATTATGACGGCAGGCAAGAACACAATCCAGACATGTTATATGGGGTAGTCCCTGCAGTTTTAATTTATTTCTGGTGATAGTATTTAAATATACACTATGATCCTGACTTTACCTACATGACCATAAATTATTTTTCTGCACTGACAACTCTCAGGTTTAAGATTCTTAAACATGAATCCAGAGGACAGTGGTGTAAAAAAGGACTTGTATTCATACTTGTATTCATAACACCTACTTATTTTTTTGCATTTGTTGAGTGAGGAGGTACCAACAGCTACAGCAACCAAATGAAACTTTCAAGATAATAAAATAATGATATTACAGAAAACTGAACTTATTCCCACTTCTGCTGGGGAATTCCTATGCAGTGTTGACAGAACTATGTAAATCTGCTTTTTTAAACAGATGGATAATGATCTATGCTTCCTTTCTTTGGCTCTAAATTCCTTCTTTTCTAATCACTGCTAGTTTTGGTATCCTGTCCTTACCTCCAACCAGAAATCATGCCTTTGCAGGCTCTTTGTCCCAACTTCTTCTTTTAATTTATCCAAGACATTAAATACAGCCCCTTACCCCACTGAATAACATAGCTTTTTTCTTCACTCCTTCTGGGTGCCAGTTAGAAAGGAGCTGAGAGAGCAGTCACATAACACAAGAGAATGAAGACCTCTGCTCTTAACACTGCTGTGATAGCATACCATAGCCCAAACTGGAACAGCCATCAGAAAAAATGTCCTGTATTTTGCTCCACTAGAGCTGGGGACAGCTTACGTACAACAACAGCACACGCCTGTTGCAGCTCTTTGGTTATGGCACACGTGCACATCAGTCACGGATAAGAAAGTGATCGTGTATAGTCTTAAAAGACTATATTAAGCATTAACAAATGAACAGAATTTTCAATGGATCACCAGCATTTCAGAAGCCCTTATTTTGTTCATATTTAGGTACCTTTTTACAGGTAAAAGGCATCCATCTAAAAACAGCTCCGCATTCTCAGAGGAGCCAAGTTTGTGTGGCAGGCATAGGAAGTGCTACAGCCATCCCCAAAAGCCTGTTATAATGGTAACACTAAAGAAGCAAAGCTTTTTTGCCCAGTTTTGTTTCATAAATGGCCAAATTATTTAGCTGGGGTGGGAGGAAGGGAGAATGACCCAATAGCATATAATCTACAGAGCACTTCATTTCAAACAATTACATGTTGCAAGAGCAACTTTTTACAGTGGGCATCATCAGTAGTTCCTACAGGAAACTTCACATCCCAATGTTATTGACTCTGGCAGTAACACTGCTTTTGTTTGTCATTCTTTCCTTAAAAAGACTTAAATAAAAGCTGTACAAACAGCTTACATCATGAAGAATAATATCCACAAAAATAAAACTCTCAATACAGTAAAATTTTAACTTTGAAGTAAATTTTCAAGAGATTTCAACATCTCCTTCACGAAGAACTCTGTTGTAGGCATCTAGGTTCAACTATAAATTTCAGTATTTAATAGTTACAATTTTTCACACTTATACAATTAACTGCATTATCAAAGCATAGATTTGCTTTATATATTGTAATGGCCTCCACAGTGATATCTGTCAGTACTGTGCATTCCTTCTCCTAATATGATCGGAAAAAGTGACCTATCATGTAATAAGTTTATAGGTCAAGTAACAAGTGGGTAGCCAGAAAAAAAAGAGAAAAATACACATTTCCTCACTCAGCGTGCTTTCAGCACTTCCAGAATCAGAGCTGCCCACTACATTGCTTAGTAAAGAAATTTTTTACTATCATAAAAGACAAAGTTTCAGTCATTTGTAAGCACTTAATCATTCATCCATCAAAACCTTACAAAGACATTCAACATCGCTTCTAGGCCTCAGAAAACAACTCCTCCAGAGGTGACCTACATCAAAAGGCTAAACACTAAAAATCTGCAGGTCCATCGCAAAGAAACTGGTATCTGGCCTATACTCACTAGATTTCATGGCATTCGGGGCGTTGGAAGGTGCATTCCCCCAGCCTGTTGTCGATGCTCCTGTATCATCTACTTCACCCCACCCGGGACTGGTTTCATTTGGCTCACCCCAGGCAGACGTACCATTATCTGGAGCAGGTGGAGTGCTTTTGCTCCAGACTGCACAAAGGAGAAAGAGGTTTCATTACAGACCATTTAGACAACAAACTATGTACTGCAGCACAGCACCACGTCATTAATCTACTGCTTCCTTCTTTTTGTTGAGATTCCCAGTAGTGTGGGTGCAACAGAACTGACAATCATTCACATCAAGTTTAGAGTGGGCACTGACCTCCAGGGATAAAAAGGAAGACCATGCTATGGTGAGTAATACTCTTCCCCCAGGTTAAACATGAACCCCACATCTAATGCTGTCCTCCTATCTGTGAACTTCTGTGACTAATTATAAGCATCTAACTCAGGGCTTCTATATACTGAATAAAGAGAAAGGACATATTTGAAGTACATATGAAACCAAGATAGCATTCTTTAAAGTGTCTTTGAGTCAGAGGAAAAGATTACATAACAATAACATCTTAATATATTTCTAGGCTATGTAAATTTTCTTGTCCTTATTCTTAAGAAGAAAATATTTGGCTGAGTATTCTTTATCATACAGCAAAGCCAAACTGAACTTAACTAAAAGACTGAATCACAGACTGGCTCAATTTCAAGTGTTAACTGTTTCAGAGCAAAAGGTTTTTGATTAAAAATTAAGAATTTCTCCCCATTTCTCTAGTAATTAAATATAAAAAATGTGATTTAGTCCAGAGAAAAGGAGACTCGGAGGAGACCTTACCCCCCTCTACAACTACCTGAAAGGAGGCTGTAGCCATGTGGGGGTTGGTCTCTCTTCCCAGGCAACAAGAAATAGGACAAGAAGAAACTGTCTCAAGTTGTACCGCGGCAGGTTTAGCCTGAATATTAGGAAAAAATTTTCACCAAAAGCATTGGAAAAGGCTGCCCAGGGAAGCGGTTGAGTCACCATCCCTGAAGGTATTTGAAATACCTGCAGATGAGGTACTTAGGGATATGATTTACTGGCAGACTGGGCAGTGCTGGGTTTAAGAAATTTATGGTTGGACTCAAAAGTTTTTTGATTCTGTAATTCAATTTGATTCTGTTTTTCAGAGTTCAGATTGAAGATGCAGATTTGTCAGCTAACAAACATCTTTTTTACTGGCAAGCTGACCAGTACTCAGATCACAGTTATTGAGGCACAAGCAGCAGAGGACTGACTGATTCAAATTCTAAAGAAACTTTAAATACAGAACCAAATATTTAAATAAGAAATCGGTTTTCTCTATAGAATAAAACTATAAGGAATTGGAGGCTACAAGTGTATCTCTTAAGCATTAAGTTTACATTCATATATAGGAGTTTACTGAAGAAAGAAACAAGACTAGTACCTGATGCTTGTGATTTGCTAGTCATTGGAGTAGGCAGGCTCTGCTCCCGTGGGGCCTGTCCTCCTTGTGAGTTCTTGTCCCACAGATTCACATTCTTGTAGTTATAACTGCTAGGATCTCCCCATGCTGAAGTGCCATCATCGATATCCATTTTTCGACTGATTGACTGTGGAGAAGGTTCTTCCCAGCCACTAGGCTCCTCCTCTTTGGGGGCAGCTGGCTGTGGTCCGCTGTTCCAGTTTGGGTTTGGAGATCGCCCATTACTTGGAGTTTGGGGCGGTGGACCCCAGGAACCAGAAGACTCCTGCTGTTGCTGCTGGTGCTGTTGCTGCTGCTTGTTCCAGGAGTTGGACTGTCGACCCGTCTCGTTCCACGTTGAAGTTCTTTTACAATCATCCCATCCACCCTTTGAAGCAGCGCTTGTATTTGCACCATTACCCCAAGTTCCAATCTCATTTTGCCCACCTTCACCCCACCCAGACACTGGCTTGTTTCCTGCACTTTCCCAGTTGCTGTTTTTTGTTTGGTCAACTTCCTCTCCCCAACCGTTCTTTCCAGAAGACCATCCTTGATTAGGCTGCCGTCCACCCCACCCCTGATCCTTACTAGAGCTATCGTTCCAAGAGGAAGATGACTTTTCTTCTTGCCTTCCTCCTCCCCAATTAGAAGAATTGGAGTTCTTATAGTCATTCCATCCTCCAGTATTTTTGGGGTCCTTCCACTCCGTTGGGGTTGAGAGCTCACCCCATCCAGACTTGTTTTGATTGCTTTGGCTGGGTACATCGCCCCAGCCCCCTGAGTTCTTTGTCTGTGTGGCAGAGCTCTCCCACCCCTCAGTTCCTTTATCAGACTTCCCCTCGGGCCGTGGCATCTCTTCAATATCCCACACTGTATCTTGCTTAATTTGAGTCTGGCCCCAGCCAGTGTTCGAAAGCACTCGGGGGTCCAAATCAGTCCTGCTCAGCAAAGTCTGCAGGACTGCCTGGCAATCAGGATGCGTAGGCCTGTATGATCGGCGTCCAGAATTGTGACTGTCACTACTTCCTGCTTTGTGGTTGCTTCCAGTGCTTTGACCTCCAACCTCACTTCCTGCAGAGCTGGAAGATCTTCCCCAACAGGGAGCCTGGGAATTGCCTTGGTTTTCAGGAAGAGGGTGGCCTTTTTGATTGTCCCATGCTCCAGTGCTAGAATTTGGTTGGTTTGGACCACTCCACTCTCCAATCTTCAGTTCATCAGACCCAGACAGCTGTTTCCATTCTCCCTGAGAGACCCCAGATGTTAATTTGTTCCCTTCACCCCACTTGCTTTCATTTGCATGCTGAGGGCCAAAGTTCCAAGACCCACCACCCGTAGACCGGTTATTGTTATCCCAAGAATCACTTCTTGACCCATTAGATTTTTGAACAGAAGCTCCTTTCCAGGAGTCCTCTCTATCCTTTCCATTGTTCCCGTGGTTTCCAGAATTGCTCTGCCCAGAGACTGTGTCAGTTCCAGAAGACGCCCTAGCTGTACCCCAAGATCCAACACTCCCAGTCTTTCTTTCTCCAGTGCTTTGTGAAGGGGTGTCAGTGCTCCTGGAAGGGTTCCCCAAGCCCATTTCAAAGGGCATTCCCTTATTCTCCATAGGGTTTGGTGAACTTAAGTTCAAGGAGTTAGTGTTTCCATTTTTTGGTCCATCAGTGTTATGAATTTGAGCCTGTTCTCTGCCAGAGACAAAGTTAACACCCGCATTTTCCATCTTTGACTGCTGTTCCCTAGAGGTCTGACCTACTGTGCTAATCTGTGCATTGGAGCTACCACTATCAGATTCCAGAGTTCCTTTCCTAGAATTGCCCTCTTGAACCAGTGCCGGCCAAGCAGATGGGTTGCTATTTGGGTTAAAGTTGCTGAAGCCAGAACTGGGACTGATTCTATCTTGTCCACTCAAGTTCCTCCAATTACCTAGTCCATTGTTACTCTCGGCAGCAGGGTTGGAAGATTGAACAGATTTAGCCTTGGGATCAGATTTCCAGGCCCCAAGATTACATTCGTTTCCAGTGCTTCCAGACTGGCACTGGCTTCCTTTTCCTTTGTTATTAGTGGTGCTTCCTGGCAGAGTGTTCTTCTCCAAGCCAGGGTTCGAGGCACTGTTGTTATCGGTGGTGTTTTCGGAAGAAGACTCAGCATCTTTGCTGGCAATACAAGGCCACTCTTCCATGTCAGACCCGTCTACAATCACCTTGTCCCAGATGTGAGTTGGGTTGGCGTTGGTGCCGCTGTTGGAGGAGGCTCCAGGACCCCAAGTGGAATTTGCATAATTTGAAGCAGCAGCACCTCCAATTGCTGAATCTAAAAGAAAAACAGAACAAAACAACAAAATAACACCCAAGAAAATCATTAATAATCAGTATTATTTTATTTACAAGCATGAAACATCACCACTAATGTTTTCATTAACAAGAACCCTTCCCTCAAATGTGTAACAAAGTTGCTCTGGAAGAAAACCAGGCTGGGAAACATCACTGAAAATACTGATAAAAAATTACAACAAACTCCCCAGAAGTTTTTTGCAGGCATTTGAAATCACCACTGACTCACTACTTCTGCCAACAGTCCAGCTTTAAGTTCAGCAGCTAATGAACACTTTTGATACTAGTCGTAGCCTTTTCAAATACCCATTTAAAATTATACACTATACAGAACAAGACCATGTATACCTAGTCGTAGGCATGTGTACACACAGCTGTTGGTTTGCTCCTCAACTGACTCAAAGCAACTACAATTTATTACAGATCAAATGCTAAAAGATTGAAGACAGAAAGCACTAATGAATATATAAAGCTGAAGAAGTTTGTCCTTCAGCTTCATATACCTTTTTCAAATCAATTTTGCTACTGGGACTTAGTTTCAACCGTTCGCAAAACAAATAAAATTAGTTCCAAAAGCTACTGTAGAGTCAAGAGTCCAAAACTATGCAAGTTACAATTTCTATGTAGTGTAAACACCCAAGCTGTATTCAGTATGTAACTGCCCCACATTTTGTCACTGCTTTATTTACCTTAGAAACCACAGTATGTGGTTTTGTGAGCAGCTAAGCTCATCTCTCTGCCACTGGATGGAGGTTAGTAAGAGATCTCACTTTTCTCTTTCAGTAGCTCTCAATTCCCCAAGTTTCACCTCTTATTTGTGACGGCAGTCAAGTCATTTAACTAAGTCAACTGCATTCTCTAACCTAACGCAAAACTGTCCACTTGTTGATACATTAAGTTTTTGCTGGCTTAGCACACCATATGAGGTAACCTGCAATTTCAATTATTCAAATTCACTATAAGGAAATCAACAGAATGAACAAAAACATACAGAGCCCCCTTCTTTCATTTGTAGTGAACTATTATTATGTCCTACGTGGTATGACATCACATGCACAAGACATCTGTATAGTTTCAAAGTAGACATAAATTAACACAGTGCCACAACAGATGAAGCATATGTCAGTGTTGATAGCATGATGTCTACATGTATGCTGACACATTATCATCATTAGTTTAAAACATCAGCCAAGATTCCCTTGCCATCCACATTGTTACCTGATCCTCTAAATAATTTAACTCCATTAGAATCTCAGTGTTGTTCTCTATATAGGGTTCCACTCATATTTCCTCTGTATTTTTAATCCAAGGGATCTTGAACTACCCTCACAAGTTCCCAGTGATAGAACTCTCCCTTGGACAAAACCACATGCAGAACCATAAAATATTAGTCTTATTCAGTTATCCCACTTATTTTGCAGAGCATAAACTCCACAGTAACAGCTGCAGCAGCATTCATACCCGAATATATACTGTAACTACCATATGACAGTTTCCATGCAAGTAAGGCAAACAGCTTAAAAACCTGTGCCTCCCTGCCTTGATTCCTACATTATATATCAAAAACTGACAATTTCTGATTGCAAATACTTTCAGTAGAAGATAACAGCAGCTTTCAGTGTCTGTCTGAAGCTTTCGGTTCATTAGCTTAAACAATCAACATCCACTGAATGCCTTCCAGATCCTCCTTCACTGAGAGCCACCAGTAAAGATCCAGACTTTACCGCAAGGTCAGAACTCCCTCATAAGCTCTGAATATTGATGAATAGTAGTTTGTCTTCACCCATTAAACCTCAGTCACCATGATCCAAAAAGACCAAGAAGTTCCCAAGTACACTCTGTTCCTTCTGTTGCCTTAACCTCAAATGCAAACTTAACAATAGCAAGGAAGTATGACTCTACTGGTATTTATATCTATCATTTAGCACAGAGTAACCCTTTTTTCTCCTTCCAGTTAAAAAAACCCTTCTGATTAGACTGATCACAGGAAGAGCTTAAGAAGGGCAGATGAAGACAAGCTCAAAAGACTGCAAGGTTGCTTGCTGTCCACTGTCTTTTGAACTTACAAATTATTCAGCAACTGAATGATGCACAAGCAGGTACGCACTTAGCAGGACCTTCAAATCAGTAACTTTAACAGAGCATTTAATTTCTATGAAAATGTTCTAAAAAGTATTAAGATTGGGATGCTTGCTAACATAAGTGTGCTAGGACACAATTTAATGGATTGTTTTATAAAACCAGCATCCCCTTGCTATATTTGACAGTGGCATCAAAATTTTGGCACTCTGGTTTTGCTTAAAAATAACGGGCAAGGAATCTTGGTTCTTAAATGGACTCTTCCTTAATAACAAACATGTTGAAAATGAAGCTTCTGATCTGACTAAAATGCAAAAAGATACTAGCAAATGACCGCTTTTAAGAAGTCCTGAAATCAAGTGGCAATTTTGCTGTGAGAGAGTGTGGTGGACCTTAAGAGGAATGTTGTGATTATTGAAAGACTTTCACCAATAAAGTATTTGCTTTATTGTCCCAAACTGTCTTGCATGTCCTGCATTACTGATATTAGAAGAACTACATAGAACACCTGTCACCTCATCCCCTGTATTGGTATGAGACAATAGTAACCTTGGTGTCGTCTTTCAGGGCACTAGTTTTGCCATCTTACAGGATTTCAATACTAGTCAAAAAAAATGGATGTAAAGAAGGATTATGTGTTGACTTTTTATATTAAAGCCTCACCAACTCCATCTGTGGCCATCTGGCGAATATAAGAACACAAAGGAATATGTAATCTGCACTATCTTCCCCTTTGGGAACCTGTTTTTTCAGGTGGGATGAATTAATCACAGTATCAGTGCATATATGCCTGATTGAATTGGGTCCAAACTCAAATTCAGTTTATTAACAGGCAGGATCTGGGGATAAATGATGTGCAAGACAGATAGCAATACTATACTGCCATAAGCACTTTGAGGGAGCATCCTAAGTGACAGCCTGGCCTTTTTCTTGCCCAGTTGCTCATTCCCACTCCTCTGGCACACCTACTCTCACATGCTAGCATGTATGTTCCCACTGATACTCAGGCAAATTAGTAACAATCACTCAGATTGAAATTAGGTTTAAAGAACAATCTGAATAATTTTAATACAAGTCAGCTCCCCAGCCCAGTTAACTGCATTACAGTGCAGAAATATGGATGGGGTGAGGCAGGTCTGAAGGACCCGTACCTTTCTTGGCACTCCTGACTTACATCAGGATAAAGCAACTAACCACTCACTGGCTAATACAACCATATAACATCTTAGTTGTTAATGTATTATCAACCTAAATATAAAAATATGAGAGTTCATAATATCAAATTTCAGCCTCAGGAAAAAAACAAATCAGGTGTCAAATAATCACACAGAACTCCAAAATGGCCCTCATATAGTACACCTAAGAGCGAAAAAAAATGCTGTTCATGAGAAATCTTGAAAACTTTTAGAATGCTTCACTACCACAACTTCTCCTTAGTCAGTCTACTACAATCACTGTATACCAAGGCATACAGAAGGTATACCAATGCTAGGACTTTATATATGAAGGAAAGACATTAGGGTGGGGTTCCCCCCCCCTTAATTTTTCAGGTGATTTATCAAAATCAGTTATCACTAAGACATGTCTTTTTAAATTGATTAGTTAAAACTTTGCCATTACAGTTTGACATTCACTCTGACCGTTATTAAATAGTGAACAAAGACAAGATAAATAATCTGTCAAGTAGAGATTTGCTACAAAGGAATTCAAATACTGAAACCACAAAACAAATAGCATTATTAATTTTCCTATAATCCTTCTTAATAAGGACAACCATCCCATCTAGTGTACTTGATTACAGAGTTACACGTTACCTCTGTTTTTAATTCTCAGCCACAGAGAACTATAAGAAGTTTATGCTCCCCAAGACTGTGGTAAAAAAATCACCATCCCATTGATCTGGCACGATTTTCAAAGGCAAACTCAGACATACTGGTATTGTTATTTTCTTCCTTTTGACTTTTAAGTATTTATTATTTCTTTTTTAAACACTCTTATTATTAGAATTGAAGTTGTCTTTGACTTTTCAGGTCACCTAAGTCTCTCCTTTAACAGGTAGATATCTTGAGTGGAATTTTGTTTGTTCTACTATTATAATTTAAGAAGAAATATTACAGCTACTGCAATTCCCCAATGATATAAAAAACTGAGGAGCAGTCATAACTTCCCCATGCTCATAAAACAATCCTTAAAATCAATAAATTTTTTGAAATTCAAAGTGAATGGAAAAGTAAAAGCAGGACAGTCACCATTTGTATAAAAAGGCTTATATAATTAGAAAAAACAAGATTAATACTTAAAAAAAAAAAGTCAGGAGGAAAAGGACCATCCTTCTGTTTCATCCAGATGAGAAGTGACAGACATCTGCCCTTCACAGACCTGGCATCTACACATCTGTTATACCATCTACACAGAAGATACAAAGACATGTCAAGATAGGAAATTCATGTAAAGAAACCTAAAGAACTATTAAGAACTACTCAGTGACAACCATAAAACTATTTATTCACGCAGTGCGTTTACCTGGTTGGGGATCATTTCTGCCACCCATTAAAACCACACAAAACATACTTGAAAAAAATTACTCTTTTTCTTGTTCAATCTAGTAGTAAAAATTTTACCAACTGCTGCCAACAGCAAGAGAAGTCTGTGTGCTAAAATAGCAGAAGCTTGCTCTCCAAAAGCAACTGGAGGAGTTTCATTATATAATGATATGCCTGTGCACAATTTTAGTCATCCCTCTCCTGCCACGCACTAACACTTGCTCACTTAATACTCTTCCTGTTACTTGCCTGTTGCAGTCCCACCGTCGCTCTGCAGCAGTGCTCCTGTCACTGGTTGTGCGTTGTTTGGGTTTGCTCCTGGTGCTGTTGGGGGGGGAGGCCCTGCTCCACCCCCAAGGAGCATACAGGATGGCGGAGGGGGCTGCCCACGTTTCAGTAACACTTTGTGGTCCTGCTGGCAACGGAATCGCGGCGGCACCTCCCGAGGCATGTAGCGGGCGGCGCTTGGCGGTTGTCCGTTCGGCACTGCCACCCTTTTGGCATTGTTGCCACCATTGACTGGTGGCGATGGAGAGTTGCCAATTGGGCTGGCAGCCACTGGTTGGCTTAAACTTGGTTTCGTCACTTCGGGCACTGAAAAACAGGGAGAATGAAAATCAGAAGGTTTTCCACTTAAACCTGTGTTAGCTACAAGAACTCACTGTGACTCTTTCATTATTTAATTCCTCTCTGAAATATGGTGCAGCTTCAGTCTTATCAACAACCAAGAACAATTTAATTAAAGAAGCAGGAATAAGCAGTAGCAGCAGACTTCAGCTTCCATGTGCAACTCTGTAGTCAAGGATGAAACTGTGCCCTCAGCAAGCATTTCACTCTAAGTCTAAAATTTCTTGCAAATGTAAAGTTGGCAAAGAATACCACCCTATACAATGAGTCATTTTAAAATACAAGCAGTCAAATGTAACTCGTCCCGCATCCCCTCCCTGTTCCCTTGTCTTCAGCTGTATTTTGGATTATTATGCATCACTTACTGGACTACACAGCTATTGCTTAAACAAACAAAAAGAGGGGAAATAACCCACCTCCTCCTGGATTCAGTTAACAATTTTGAGTTCTCTGTACTGCTCTTAAATAAGGCAGTAATAAATGACTCTCACCCCCCAAGGCACTCGTACATACAGTGACTGTACTGGGCTCGCTTAAAGTTTCCCAGTGGGTCACCAGGTGCCCCTATAAGCAAGGACAAGCTCCTTCTGAGGGCTATTATGTATTGGAGAAGAAGGAAAACACAAACAAATCCTTGAGGTGCTAGCACCACCCAAAATTTGAGTCTCTTAGAGACTCTAGACTCATAACCCCTTACACTGTCCATGTGCTTTTTTGAAACACAGTAAAAAATGTTTAGCCAGTCACCTAGAAGGTGTTCAGACATCAGACTCCAAAGGCAAGGAAAATTTAATACACCTACTCCAGCCTTTGTGGAAGATTAATATAAGAAAGTGTTGTCCAGAAACCATTCCCCAGCAAAGTAAGAATAATCAGTAAAACTTTTACTCTTAAAACTGTCGAGATCAACACAAGTGAGCCTCTCTTTGTCAACATGAATGCATTATTATCCACATTTTACTGGTATAAGGCTTTTCTGATTTCTCTATAAAGGCTTCATTGCCTGAACGCCAAAAAGGTATTGTTAGCTGTAAAATCAAGTTATTACCTTAGTCCTTTTCTGTCAATAATGGTAGTTTTCCCTCACAATTTGCAGAAAATTGATATACAAAACAAGATTAAATATATTTTTACATCAGCTAAATTGTTTAGCTTAACTTTCAGGATGTTCACGCATCAGTCCTGCCTTATCTGTTGGACTTCTATGTGCTTGAACTTGAGTTTTCTGAAAAAAGTAATGTTTACCCTTTCTGGTACCTCACCAGAAGTAGTACTTTCCTGGTCTTTCTTTCAATTTGTACAGGCAGTTTCAGCTTCGGTTACTTGCCTAGCACCTTTGCAGAACTAAGCATTTCAGCTAACCTATCTTATCCACAATCCTCATTCCTTCTTCAAGTATTTTCATGCTGACAACATATGAGCAGAACAGTTTCAGGTTCTCTATTTTAATCACCGTAACTTTCATTTCTTCTGAATACTCATCTTCAGTATTTCATTTTGACTCGTAATTTCCCTTCCTTTTCCAACAGTTTTGATCAAGGTCTGAATCTTAGCTCAGGTCAATAAAAATACTCCTTAGAATCAAAGATTCTTACCTTTGGTTTTTTGATCTGTGACCTGCAAATTAAGAGCAAGAATGTAAATAGAGTTTTCAGAACCTCAAAACAAACACTGAACAGGCTGTGCTAAATCACAACCTTATTATATTAGCACAAGAACAACATTTGTTGTTGAATGAATATAAGGCAGCTGACGAACTACAAGTCTAAACAGTAGTTGTCGTTATACACACATAAGTTTTCCAAAGTGCTACAACTCCTGTAATTCCTTTGCCCAATGCAGAAACAGTAATTACTTCACTTATGATGATTTTAAGTATTCATGTGCCCTTCCTCAGCCCAAACATGGACTTCCAAAGCACAAATAAACATGTGCTACAGCACTACAGCTCTTTCCGGTTCTGGAGATGAAGTATTGTAGCTAAAATGTAACAACACCTTCCTTCTATGAGAGTATCCATCCTCGCAGAGAACTGCTGGGGCTAGCAAGAATAACCAGAATAAGCAGCCTGTCTCTCTGCCATCTTCCCATTTCACCTTTCCCTTTAAATCTTTTCCAAGAAGAAATCCTAAACCTTACTGAATTCATTGCCACAACTACAGAAAGTACCAACAACACCTATAAAGGAAATCTACTGAATGCAACAAGAAGTTAATTAGTGAAATGAGCATTCACACTGGCCAACATACCCATTATGGGTTTTGCTGTACTTCTACATTGTTTCGGCATAGAGGATTTCAAGCTTGTAGAGACAAACACACCACTGGTATATTCTCTGGAATCATGTGTATTGTAGCATGTTTTGAACCTGTCCATCAGGAGTTCCACTGCACAATAATGAAAAAACCCTAAAGATCATCATGTGTCAGGTTCTATGACACCTATTCTTAAAAGAAATTGCTGAACTAGTCCATAATTCTGGAAAGCACACAGTGACAGTATAGCATAATGAAAGCACAAGTAGAAAGCAGTTTACTGTTGAAATCAATGAAGCCAGAACTCCTTTGTATGGTAAAGAATAAAAGGACAAACTGCACTGAATTGCTATGGCATCATTTACTTTACAAAGATGAAAACTGCAACATGTGAAGTAGAACGTTCACTGTAATAAAGAATCTTAAGCATTGTAACTTCACAGAATTACATAATCCAAAAGTCTCCAAGATCATAAAAATGCACCTGTACCAAAACGGCATCTGTAGCAAGCCATTCATTTTCAACTTCACTTATGAAAAATCCATATATATATCATGTGTACATCCTCTGTGACACAGTTAAAAATTCTGCTAAGCATTTAATTGACTCTGATGCTCCACTACTAAAGGAAAAGGGAAAAGTTTATTCAGTAATACACTCTGGTAATGCTGATAGGCTTACTACAGCCAACAGTAAGTAGTAAATTAGTAACCTGTCTACTTGGAAAACCCCCATATTACCAAATCTTTGAAGAATTCTAGATGAAAACCACAGTTTGGTTTAGGGAAAAAAAGCCCCAAACTACTTCTGCCTATACTGCATCTCTGTCCTAGTCAAAATGATCTGGTTTTGTCTAAAATTCAAAAGCTGAAAAAATGTGTCACTGTCTCAGAATTACAGCTGTCATCTCTCTGAGGGCAACCTATGAGCATCAGCAGGTCAGGAGCAGCTACAGTGAATGAGAAGGTGGAGTCAAGCTCAGCCTTCTGACAAGCTACCAAACAGCCCCCTGGACACCAACCACAGGAATTTAGGCTGTGAATTTGACTGCACAATCCCTCTCAGAGCAGTTTTCTTATTTTATTTTATTTTTAAAATTTCCAATGATCCAGACATAAACAACTGTTTCATGTTATACAAATTCTGTTTGAAAAAGGCACCCCCAAATCGTTGCTGCTTATTTGGTGAACATCTCCACAGTCACTACGAAAAACACACACATTTATGTTCTGTCCATTCAGTTGCCTGATTTTGCTATTCTTAGGTATATCCAAGTATTACTCTTAAGTTTAGCCTCTAGGAGATTAACTTACTTCATCTTCACCCTTCCCAAGAGTTTGGCAGAATACCATAACATCCAATAACACTGAATAACTCAGTAGGAGAGAGACCACACAGGAAAGCTGGCAAATCTTGTATTCAAAGCACCAATTGCTCAGTAAGCACAGCACTGTTATCAAGATGATCAGTACAACCTTTTGAAGTTTTCCCTTTTAACACTGAACATGAGCACATAATCCTCAAGTCACTACTCTCTATTCATCAAGGTCTGCCTCCTCCTGGTTCCTACATATATGTTTTTATCTGAACATTAAACAGCAGCAACACTGAGGCAAAAAGATGCTGAAGAGACCTTATTCTGTAGCTACTGATCTTCTGCACTATTACTGAGAATGTATCAACACAATGACTGGATAAAGACCACAGAAACATAGCAGTTTATCTGCCTCTAATTTAAACTGATAGAGTCAAAATGGTGAAAAAGACAGATTAAAAACCACCCTCTGTAAGCCAAATCTTAACTGAAGCTGGTACTGTCCTCAGCAGAAAGCTATAGAATATGACCTTTTGTAGGATCTATTCTTACTGAAGCAACTGAGAAACAGACTACAGAAAGAAAGTAAAGCCTTCTGCTCTTAACTTCACATAATCACTGAGGTTGGAAAGGACAGCCTCTGGAAATCTAGTCCACAGTTCCCACTGCTGTTCCCCACCTGGCCCCAAGAGTCTTCTCAACTCTGCAAAGTCATCAAAACTAGACTGCAGAGGGTCATATCCAACATATTTTTCAGCATCTCCAAAGACAGAGGCACCACAGCCTCTTTGGGAAACCTGTTCCAGTGGTTGCCCAGTCACATACACGCACAAAAAAAGAAGCCCTTTTACGATTAAGTAGAATGTCAATATGTGCATGATGTCTTGTGCCTTGTCACTGGCCACCACAGAGAAGAGTCTGCCTCCATGTTTTTACTCTCTTCCACAAAGTATTTACAGAGGTTGGTACGATCCCCCAAGCCTTCCTTCCTCCACACTGACCAGTCCCAATACTCTCAGCCCATCCTCATTTGTAGATACTCCAGTCCCTTAATCACCTTAGGGGTCTTCTGCTGGACTCACTCCAGGAGAGTTGCATCTGAACTAGACAGAAAGGATTTTCCCAGTAAAAAGCATGGATAAAGCTGTTCATATGTCAACTCCTAGAACAACCTACTAGCTTGTCTGCAAAATAGAGACCTAATACACCAAGTTTCAAACCCATTTTCTGAGCAAAACCAATTTTCGGTGACTTATCGATTCTCCATGGCTCAGACTTGGACCGATACACTTCAGTAATGGTGCTATTAGCTACAGAAAATGTAAAATGGAAGCAATAAAGGGAACCTCCTTCATGTAAACTTCCTTAAGGGTTGAAAAAGACCAAAAAAAAAAAAAGTTCTTGCTCTAGAAAATATTTAGTCAATTTTACTGCAAGAATTGCAAAGGCCCAGCAGTATTTCCATCCCCAAACACCTCAAACCAGCAGGAGTTGCATAGAGAGATCAAAAGAGCCCATATTAAGTAACTTAAATAGTTTATATGAAAAAACTTCTTTTACTTCAATAACACCCTAAGGAGAAGAAATGTCCAAGTTAAACACTTTAGTTCCAGAAAAATGATGCAAAAATACTCTTTCTTGAAGCATCACTCTAAGCAATCAATTTTTTAAGCTCTAATACAAACAATTTGGCATCTTAATACTACCAATACTATTTACATTTTAGCTGGATAGAAGAATTCAAATATCAAAACATACCTTCTGAGCAGAGTCCTTCTTTTTCTTATCCTCTTTCTTCCTTTTCTTGTCTTCCATTAACTGTTCTTCCCTTTCTTGCTCCTTCTCTCTGCCAAAACACGAAAAACAATGATATGAGCCCAGTCAAGCTGTGTAAGAGTCACAGGTACTGTATGCCTCTTCACTCCCAAGAAAAGCAGCCAAGCAACTATATTCCTCTTATCATACTTATTTCCATTTGAGGGTTTCAGTCTAATTGTGATAAGAAACGCACCTTCATTCTCAGTATGGCCAAAATCACACCACATGCTGCACAAAGGAAAATTCCTTTAATCAGATCAGATCTCTTATGGCAGCTCCCTATATAAATTAACTACATGCCTGATAGTAGAAAATATATTCAAGAGGTTTTGGCTAAAGTACCCTTATAATTGGGTTGTGCTATTATTTAACGAAGATTCTCATGAATCTTTTCATATGGTTAAAAAAAAAATAAATGGAAAGTTGTAATTTAGTATAAGATGGTTTGGTCTGATACAACATTTATCTTCACAAGGGGAAGAGATTATTCTATTGCCTGCAGCTATGTCACTTGTAAGAGACTAGAAGTGTCACATCAAATCAAGCCCATCATTTATTATACAAATCTCTAATTTAATTTCTAGGCTATTGTACCCACCCACTGAATTTTTGTGATGAAACTTGTAATATAAATTAGTTTCCGGGGAATCTATTTTTTACACAAGAACATTCTTTAAAAAAGAAAAAAACTGCAGCTGCTATTGTTGTCAAGCTATCATCTTGTTGCTATGTTCTGTATCAAATATGAAAGTACCATGAAATAGTTAATTTACTGCATACATGCTACTGGCTGAGCTGTTTCTATGGTGAATCACATTTTTGTTAACCAATTCTCTCCACCTTCTTAAAAATAAATTTAAGGCCAAGTTTCCAGCTTACTTGGAGTAATTTCCTTTTATAGGGACAGAGTAAGAAAAAGACAATTAATATAAAAAGATGATCTGACAGATAAGGGACAGGATCAGAGACCCTACAAATGGGAGACAACTAACGAGGATAACCCACAATCTTTCAGAGGAAAATTTTACAAAAAACAGAACAGCATTACAAACAACACTGCACGTTATAACAGTACTGAACTGTTTCTTGTATTTATGCATAAACCAAAGCTCTTTTCTGACCAGTTTAAAAAGCTTAGACTTGAGTTGGCTTTGCTGTTACATCACTCAGACTTTTCCTTCTATTGCATTTATATGGGACAGGTAATACTTCTGTTTTCATTTTCTCTAGACACTGCCAAGCCAGTGTACAAAGTGTCATTTACACAGCTAATCGATTTCTACAAAAATATTTTGAGATACTATGTATTAATAGCTTCCTGACTGAGGTCTTCAAAGAACTCTCTTAATGACAAAGGGTTCTATGGAGAGTAATAGTCTTCCTGGTTTCCTAAAGTTAGGCTTTCTCTCTTCATGCATTGATAAAATTGATAAGGGCAAGATGAGCCCTTAGTAACAACATCCCGAGGTTACCACCAAATGCAACTACTACACAATGGCAAGTTCACTCTGCTTTTAGCAAAGTTTCAGGCAAGTGTTCCACATCATATGGAACAGTGCTTTATGCACTCTGTCTGGTATTGCTTAAGCCACATTTGTCCTTGCTTTTTCTGTTCCCAGTAAAAGGTCAAAGCACACTTCCCAGTCCTAAACTCTGACAAGGAAAAGCCTTGCAGATTTTTCACTGAAGGACTGGGGAGGTTAGTGTACTCTGAATTGTCTGTCATAGCACAGAGACAGAATTTTTTGTTTCCTTTGAGTCACAGATTTTAAGCAACATGAAAAGGCTCTCTTGTGACACGCTCATCTTTCAAAGTTACTGTAACCTCAAATTACGTTTACTACTTTTGCACTGTCGAGTTCCGTATACCTTTTGGGCTGCAGTGCCAGTTACAAGAACACTATTTCCAAAAAATTTTCTTGCAGCAGGCAAAAGTTTAAAGAACTGTGTTGAAAGAGGTGCTGAAAAACGATAGGATCAAAATACAAAATGACTTCCAGTAACTGCTTGGCACACATGCAACCTTCTACTTAAAAGAACTTTCTTTAGTTTTGTGATCAGAAAAGCAGGAATGGAGAAGAATGAGAAAAAAAAAAGTCAGAGCTGAACCTATGACTTACAATGACAGGCAGCACTACAAAGAGTCAAGGACAAAAGATCCATAGCTGGAAGTAATCACCTAGTTATGGTCTGCCTTTGTGGTAAATTTAGGACATAGAGATTGCCACAGTTGCTGCCTTGTTTTCCAATCTATACGGATTAAGGCTGCTAAGAAGTCCTTTGTTTTGCATGACAACCTCCCCTTCTGCTTTTAGTAGAGACGCACATTTAATATTCCATTGGGCATGTCAACAACAACCATAATACAGCAGCAACCAATACTCAGGCTACTTTATTTACCAAAACTGTATTTAGGCTTCAATTCATGTAAGTTCTACTGAGGTGGAAGGGATCTATCCAAACACTTGGGCCACATCAAATGCACGAGACCATCAAGTTTCTGACAAAGCGCCAAGTGAAACCTCACAAACAAGTAGGAAGTATGAAGATATACTCCCCAAAGGGCAGAGCAAGAATGGATACTACAGACACGTTTAAAAAGTACCACTGTATTAGTGGGTAAATAGCTTATTACTAGTTTGGGGTATCACACTTGCCATCTTCCCGATTCTACCCTTTGACACATTTCACTACTATTTGTTTTATGGTCAATTATTTCCTTTTTCAGTTCTATGCAAGAAGCAAGTTTAACTTGCAGCTGCCTATTAACCATCTCTCATTAGCCAAAGGATAATTCTTCCTGGCCTGGTCAAGAAAACCGGGGGGTCCATCATGTACATCCCAGCAACCAGTTGCTTACACTGAGAAGATGAACAAGGGCAGAAAACCCATCAACTCCAAACTGAGTGAATTTAGAGTAATACAATGGGGTGTGGTTCCGGTTTTTGTTACCAGCACACAGTAATGGGAACAGAGACACAGCACAACCCTGAAGAGGAAGTTTGCTAAATAGCAATCAGCAGTCAGCTTTTTACTTCAGCTTTCTTCAAGAAAGCATGGTTTGGTCTTAAAAATATGACCTAATTGCTAAAATCTTAGAATCAACATTACGGAAAAATATTTAAGAAGCGTGATACAGATTTTAATTTTAAGTATTTAAAAGTAAGGTATATTAACATCTTACAAATTACAAGAAAGTTGTAATCCAAAGTGTTATTTTATTCATAAAAAAACCCTAACAAACCCAGTAGCTATGACGCATTACACTCAATACCTTATTTAAGTTCTTATAATAACCTCTTCTGGCTAAGTCAAAAGAAATCAGTTCAGAGAAAAGAAGTTTTTTCAGCTGGTTAACTAGAGACAAAACAGACAACACTTGTGAAGTCCATGTTATCAAAGCATTCATTGGGGGGAGGGAAAGGGGGGGCGGGAGAAAGAAGAAAAACCAGACATTCAAGAAAAGTGCCCATCCCCAAAACAATTTACCAGCTTTGGAAATTGTTAATTTCCTGCAAAATTCTAATATTCAGTTTTCCAAAAAATTCCATTTTAAAAAGAGTTGTTCTGGCAACATTATGGGCTTGAGGCACGGGGAAAGGACAGAAGTTGTCTTCAAAGTTCTTGCTATCACAGACTGAACTGTGAGGCGAGATGACGTGCTACATATTACACACTATCTGCTGCCAACACACTTCGATAGGTAGAGATAAAGCATCACACAGAGCCATCAGTCTGTAAACACAACCCTATAAAGTTACCCTCAAACTAAAACTGCACAAAAGCTATAAGCAAAATGTAAGAAAAGAAAATTCCTAGAAACTCAAGCATGGCACTTTAGTGCACGCAACTTCCATTTCCTTCCTCAGATCTACAGAACAGTGTGAGAGTCTGAAAGTTCCTCAGAGGTGAAGGTGTGGAGCAGATACAAGTACTGTGAGTCATCTTCCCTCCTCCTGACCTCATACTTTACACTTAATTTCACTACAGTAAACTTGGTTTAGCTATACTATAACACAGCACAGGAGAGACAGTAAAACTTCTGTAGATGCACTCTGTTCTCCACAGCATAACAAGCATTGAGTGACTTACAAATGTGCTTCCAAATTGTGAGTCAACTTGTGCATCTTCATTCAGAACATACAGAATTCTGAAACTACACTTGTAGCATCAGTAGCACTTTTAACAAAACAGGTTTTATCTATATAGCTACAAGGTCATGTTAATAACTGTTACATCCTCCCTAAAGGCTTTAGCCATAACTAGCCAGAGTAAAAGGCCATTATCATATGGAGAGAATGATTTGCCTGCACAGACCAGTCTCACTTAAGAGGCAACACTTGAGCTATTCACATACTTTTTCTTACAGACAGGCCTCTAGTGATCCAAGATATCAGACCAATCTTTCAGAAATGGACAAAAGGACTCAAAACTTGAGGAACTAAACCAGAAATTTAATCTACAGTAAGGTATCCAACTTTGGTCAAGATCTGAAGTAAGAACTATTTCTGGTGAACTCTAACTACAAGCACCTAGCTTCTCAGCATTTCTGAAAGTTTCCACAGTATTTTGATAAATTATACAGCCTGCATATCAGCAGAATTTGGTATCACACACTGGTGTGTCAGATGTGTTGCAAAACACCTCTATAGCAAGCTCAAGGTCAGATGCAACTTCCAAGACAGAAGCTCCTCTCAATCGATACAGGGACAAAAACTCTTTGAGAAAAGTAAAATGTCTTCAACACTGCTATTTCGTGAACAGCTTGCTGCTGCCACTGACAAATATTTTTTTTTCCTTTTCTTCCACTTCATTTCTCTTCATCAGGCTCTGTCCCTGACCTTCTCTTGCTTGAGCCTTCTCTGCAACTCAGTTTATCATATGGGAAGCAAATTGAACCCACAAATACTAACCTGGACCATACCGAGCCCTGCACTCAACTCTGTTTTGTAAATGGAACTGGCCTAGAGTATTATCAGATAACCACCACAAGTAGCGTGCACAGGCATCAAGGAACCTTCTCCTTTC